CCTCCTTCCCCATTTAATTTTGTTTTGTCAATTTACCAACATCTAATACACTAATTTTCCATTTATTTATTTATTTTATCTAGTTCCCTGCCCCTCCCCCTAGAATACAAGCTCCATGAGGAAAAGGATTTAAGCCTGTTTGTTCCTGTATGTTCCCAGTGTTTGCTGACTGAACAGGTGCCATGTCTGTCTCTATTTTGTCAGATAAGCACTATATTCACCCTATGCTTATTTCATGATTCTTAACATAAGCATGGAAACTTTGCTTTTGAATTTGGTTTGGTTCTTTAGATACTGTTGATTTAGCAGAGGTTTGTCACAGAAGCGGTCTCTAACTATCTGGAAAGACCTAGACTGGAATAAGAAGATGCTATTGTTATTTTCATCTCTATATATGCTTACCCAATCCCTAACATCCTTCTTTTGTTATTCTTTTTAATTTGCAGTACTAGGGTTTAAACTCAGAGCCTTTCTCTTACCACTTGAACCATGCCTCCAGCCCTTTTTACTTTATTTTTCAGGTAGGGTCTTGCGCTTTTTGCCCAGGGCTGTCCTCTGACCACAATCTTCCTACCTCCACTTCCTACATAGGTGAGATTATAGCATATTCAACAATACTTGGCTAGTTTGTTGAAATAAGGTCTTGCTATCTTTTGCCTATGCTGGCTTCAAACTGTGATCCTCCCATTTCTGTCTCCCACCTAGCCGGGATTATAGGTATGTACCACCATATCTAACTTTCTTGATTCTGAAGACCTAAGAACTCTAGCTGAATGTCCACCCCCGGATTCTACTTGGACTTGCTCTGCACTACAGTTCTGAGTAATTGCCTTCTGCCCTTGGCCACCTGCATAGACTGGGACATGCTTCATGTCTTTTTTTCATTATAGTGGACTTAACTGAAGCCCGTCTGGCCATCTAAGGTACCTGGATGGTAGGCACACATACAAGTCACCCTCACTGATTTGCCTGTATGGTCATAGTTTTGTGAAACAAAGCATTTTAAGTGATAGTATACTTAATTATAGGCATGTAACTATTCCTTTCTATATATACCAACTACTTAGCTGAAGAATTTAAGAATAGCATTTCTGAAACTAGCTTTCATCTAATAAAGCCTGCATGAATAGAGACATTGGAGATGGTCATTTTCAAGTCATATTTAATCTTGTCATACTAACATTTATAAGCAGTAGATTCCCAAGGTATAGCTGACTCTTCTTTTATCCACATTGCAGCAAAGCTGTGATTATAATAATCACTGTGTTTAAAAGCACCGGGTGAAAGACATGTAGGGAGATCATCTAGGCTATTTGGTAGCAGAACATATATCTAAATCATGCAGCTGTTTTTCTTCTTTAAAGACTTAGAGAAGAATCAATAATTTTCTTTATATATAGATAGTTTGGACATCAGAGATAACAGAAGATTGTTTTAAAGTTCACCCCATAATCCAATTTTAAATTCACTTGAGGTTACTTTAAGTATTTCCTTAGTGCACAACAGTTTTGCTTTTGGGAAGTAGAATTAGAAAGAGAAGGCTGATAGAGCATAAGAAGGAGAAAACAGGGAAAGAGCAGTGCTAAAAGAAACCAGGCAGAAGGAATCAAGAAGAAATGTAAAAGGAATTCAAGTTTTATTGCCTATTCACTATTTGATTTCTGAGGGAACTGACCTGCTTCTTTTCTGCAGGCAGGCATTCATTACATGAACACAAAGTTCCAAAAGAATCAGGAATGATTAAGAGATGCATAGGGAAATATAGATGAGCTCTGGAAAAAAATAAATCCAGTCATTTAAAAAAATAAAATGTGTTCACTCTTTTTTTTTTTATTGTTGTGCTGGGTGGGGGTATATTGCAGCATTTACAAAGGTTCTTACAGTGTATCAAATATGTCATACTTTATATTTTCAATAATAATAAAATCATACAGCAACAAAAATTGAATTCAAGTAGAGAGGTCTAAATAGAAAAGGAAAGCTCTCTTGCTTACATTCCTATCATATCTAAGTTCTTTCAGCCACTGACAAAAATTCCTTGAGCAATTTTCCAGAAAGAAAAATTAAATGCAACTCCCTGCACAGATATATGAATGTGGGGGTAGAGTTGGAGATGTACATTTAAAATTTTATTCCAGGCCAGGCACCGGTGGCTCACGCCTGTAATCCTAACTACTTGGAAGGCTGAGATCAGGAGGTTCAAGGCCAGCCCTGGCAAATAGTTTGCAAGACACCATCTCCAAAATAACCAGAATGAAATAGACTGGAGGTGTGGCTCAAGCAATAGAGCACCTACTTAGCAAGCACAAAGCCCCAAGTTCAAACACCAGTCCCACCAAAAAAAAAAAAGCACATTAAAAACATTTTTATTCTGGTTGGGGGTATGGCTCAAGTGGTAGAGTCCTTGCCCAGCAGGCACAAGGCCCTGAGTTCAAGCCCCAGAACTGCCAAAAAAAAGTGAAAAAAATGAATAAAATTTTATTCCAAAGGAAAAACATCATATCTCCTGCATGATGATTTACTTTTTTAAATTTTTTAAATGCATTTTGGAGCTCTTTCTATATGTTTACAGTCATGCAGTCTTCATGAGAAGGGGGATTTTGTCTACGTGCTGGATATGCAATGCCTAAAACAAAGGTCTTACTTATATTCTTCCTTTATCTAAAACTTCATAGGTAAATGAATGAAAAAAATCAGTAAATATGAACTTACTCTTTTGATCCAAAGGATAATGGTACGTCATTTTAATGTACCGGAAGTAACCAGTCAGTTACTAATGAACATTTGTAATCTTTTCATTTTGGCTGGTACTATAGAAAACATTCCTAAATGTGTATGTCAAATTTTATTCAAATGTATATGTAACTGAATCTCAGATAATTACTTGGCAATGTTACAGTTCAGTCAATATCATTTCTAATTTTAATAGATATTGTGAAATCACACTAACGAGTTGCATCAATTTATGTTCTTTTACATCATTTACTCTGGAGCAACTCATAAAACCCAAACTTTAGTGACAAAAATACATATTCCTAGAAACTGCATATTCTTCCATCTACAGCTTTTTAATGGAAACTGTCAGATGAGATCTCAAAAACCAAGCCTCCTTCTGGCTTTGCTGAGCAGTGGGAACATCCTTTTTCTCAAAGACAAAGTACTTGTTCCTACTGGCCAGTTTTTGGAACTTAGCCAAAATTCATGGCTAACTGCTTCCTTTGTATCTTCTAATAATAAAATATAATTCTATTATATCCTTTCTGTAAAAAATCAATTACTGCATTTTTATTAAATACAAAAAATGATTTAACAGCATGAAAATATTAAGAAAGTGTTTATAAAAAGTATACAGGTAGCAATCCCGTAGAAGTGCCTGAAATTCTATCACTCAGGCTCTCACAAGGATTCCCCTGCCTATTGACATTAAAATAAGAAAAGTAACCTATATACAAAAAGAAGGTTGTATTCCCATTAACATTCATGAGGAAAGAGCAGCTGAAGCCCTACACATCAAGTAGGGAATATATCCTTTGTCTGCTGATGAGAAAATGGTTCAGTGATAAATGGTTACAGACAAGGGTGTCACAAGGGCAACAGCACACAGAACAGCTCCAGCTCTGACAGGCTTTTTTTTTTTAAAGTCTTCTCCGGGAACTTTTTGTAGTATTGTGGAGAATGGTGCCCATTCCCTCAAATAAAAGGCTAATATTGAAATGCAAAATTCCTAAACTTTGCTGAGGTACTTGCTAAAATCCACACACAAACCCTTTGAAAATAATTTAGAACAAAGTTTCAAAGGCTTCTTGAGGTATAAATATTCAGACATTGCGAAAAGAAGTGCTTGGCACTCAGCATCCTGGCAATATGGGCCTAAAATGGATATTGTAAGAAGAGATATTATGGTTGTTTAAGTGCAAGCTCGGAAATGTCAACACCAGAGGCATCATTAAAAGGGCTTATGTTTATTTACGTAAATTTAAAAGCTTGTTCATATTCAGTAGATGTGTGAGCAAAAAACCACCTATTAAGACTTTATTTCAAAAATTAACTTCTCAAAGAGTCTACCAGTTATTTTCAGTTAATTTTTTTGATTTTATTCCTTTTATTGTTGTGCTCAAATCAAAATGAGTAAGGTTACAAGTTGTTGACAACCTTGTCACATTAGGCCTAAATTCCAGGACAAACACTTCCTGGGGCCTGGCTCTAGGTGGCTCAGTTTCCTCACCTATGAACACAAAAGCTGATCCAACCTCATACCCCAGTATTTTGCCTGTACTTCAGCAGTCTAAAGGCTTCAGCATGGAAAAGACAATAAGCATGGTGCATTTTTCTAAATCACATATGTCAAAGCTGCGCTTTTTCAGTGTTCTCCTCCACCCTTAAGAAAAAAAACTCCAGATGCAAGGTCAGAAAGAATGCACAATAGCTCTCCGACAAATTCTCGGCACTGCCCTCTCCGCAGTGTGGTGGGGGCTGTCTTGGCCAGCGGCGTGTGGACCCCGCTCAAAAGCGCAGCCAGCAGGTCTACTGGGGCACGGGATTGGCTCGCAGACTTCGCTGAACAAGCTAGCCCACTGAGGCAAGGAGGCGGGGCCGAGGGGGCGGGGCTGGGGGTTAGGCCCCGCCCCCTGCCCCAGAGGCGTCGGGGCGCCTGCGTGCCGGGCGTGGGCCTGTAGTTGGACGCCCGGGGTTCTGGGCTCGCCCTCGCACCCCGGCCCTCCGCCTCCTCCCCCGCCCCTTCCCACCTCCGCCTCCTCCCCCGCCCCTTCCCACCTCCGCCTCCTCCCCCGCCCCTTCCCACCTCCGCCTCCTCCCCCGCCCCTTCCCACCTCCGCCTCCTCCCCCGCCCCTTCCCACCTCCGCCTCCTCCCCCGCCCCTTCCCACCTCCGCCTCCTCCCCCGCCCCTTCCCACCTCCGCCTCCTCCCCCGCCCCTTCCCACCTCCGCCCACTCGACGCAATGACGCAGCGCAGGCTTGCGGACGTGGCGGCGGCGCAAGGTCCGGAAGGCAAAGACGTTGGCTGCAGCGGTGGCCCCGTAGGTGGACCCGGACAGCCGAAAAACGAGGCTTGGTCATGAACGTGCCTGGGACAGCAGCGGCGGTGGCGAACCTGGTATTCGTCTCCTCGCTGCGTCCCCGCTGCTAACTGAACAGGTGAAGATGGCGACGGGAGGTGGGGGTGGCCCCGGGCGGGCTGTCCGAGTTGGACCCGGCTGCATCCTCCCGGAGTCGGCGCGGTAGGTGCGGAGGGGCAGGGCTGGGACCCCAGCTCGCGTGGGGGGCACCCGGCTAGCAGCCCCGCTGGAATCCCCTGTCACTCCCGCGTGGGGCGCGGGCTCCGAGCCGAGCCTCCCACCTGCCCGGCTTCCGGCGCGGTGCGCTGCCCACCCGCGCCGCATTCCTTCAATTTAGCCTGGGCCTTGAACTTGGGCTGACGGCCTCGTCCAGGTGTGTTGCTGCGCCGGAAAAACCGGAGACTTAGTTCTTGCTTGGCATAAAAGTAACTAGATGTATGGAACGGAGAGCGAGAGAAGTCAAGCTTTTAAAAGCAAAGTTGGCCCCAGGGATTCTGTCCCTAGTGCTGAACTGACCCGTGCCCTGTGGTTCCTTCATTGCCCGCTTCCAGGAAGGTCAAAAGGAAACACCCCGCAGCAGTTAGGATATAGGACAAAGGTATTGGGGAAACCATTTTTGGTTACACAGCTGTGAAAGCCTTGAAGACCGAATCCATTGGTAGGTATTTTTTTCTGGCTGCTTCTGATCTGTATGGCGTGGATGTCTGCTAAAACCTGTTCACTCTGTGAACTCTGCTCACTTTATGCAGGCTTGTTCCAATTTTCTGGAGGGGGTTCGTCCCTTTGTCCTGCCCTTAGAGAGTTAAAACAGGCGAAGATGACTTGAATACGATGTCTAATCTCTGGTAGTTTATTCAGATAATGATCTGTCTCAGCCAGAGTGTAGCTTTTCACTTTGATTACAGACACAACGAGTTCTTGATTATTTAGACACCAATTTGCAGTTCGTGGTACTGTGCTGCCTTCATTTCATTACAAAGGAGACTGGAGAGAGGGATACAGGGAAAGTTCTGGTCTCCCAAATACTTAGCAATGTATCATGGAGAAAAGTTGATATAAATGAATGTCTGAAATGCCCTTTGAGTATGGCTCAGTGGATTTCAGGCAACTGTACTGAGCTAGTTTTAAGGTTCTAAGAATATCAGAGAGAAAAAATTTAAAGGGACAGCATAACTAGGACAATATAGCCACCTGTTGATTGCTATGTATTAAGTGATTCTTCGTTTTTTTTAAGGATATGAAACATATTCTCCCTAGAAAAATGTATCTGTGTGTGTGTGTATGTATATCGTCGGTCTGTGAATCCATGGGACTCACAAATATTCCCTAGGTTAAAGACACAGGATTAAAAAAAAAAAAGTTAAGTACTTGAAAATGAAACTGTTACCCTTGAAGAAATAAGTGTGATCATGATTTCAGAATTGCTTTTGAATTATGAAATGTGGGTGACTTTAGTTTGGTAGCTGTCAAGCTAGGAATTCTAGCTTTTGCTAATAAATAATATAGAACCTCTGGGAACAGTTGAAATAATCTACTTAATATATAGCTATTAGCTACTGTGTTATTTGAAAGGAAACCCTTGAATTTTTAAAACATTACAGTGTTGCCTTAGAGCAGGGTAAAAAACTTGTTTTTTAAGGGTTCAGTTCAATTATTTGAAATAGTTCCAAATAGTGTCTTCATAGAGTGTAGTCTATTTGTCATCCATTTTACAAGTTAAGCTTTTTTGAAGGATTTAAAATTTTTTTTGCTACTCATCCATAGTATTCACAACAGGACTGAGTCCTTCTAGACATCATTTTGTCTCCATGACTTTCATGACAGAACACATCTATTGACTCCTACTCCTGTAGACACTCCTTTTCCATGTTTAGAGGAAGATTTTAGTAAGATAAGGCACTTGTCTGACATTCCTTTTTGCGTTTTGGAGGAATTCATTTATCACAGTCTTAATCCCCACCCCACCACTAGCTCTTCTTCTTGGAGAATGTCACATTTATTCAGAAATCTTGGTGTGATCTTTAACTTCTCTTTTCCTATCTGAGCCACACTGAAGTTTGAGGTGTTTTATCTCCAAAATGTCTCTTACCCCTCTTCATCTTTCATAGCAGTAACTGAAAGCAGTCCATTCTTTCTTATGTGAGTAATTAACATGAAGTCAAAACTGAATGTAGAATTTTTTATGAGAATAAACTCGTGAGTTTGAAAGTAAACATAAAACTTGAATGTAAGGTTTTAAATAAATCAGTTTTTTAAAAAAAGATAGTGTGTAGAATGTAAGATGCATGTAAATCAGTCAGATGGATTGGCTACATTTCAAAGTTTTCTCTTTTTTCCTTCAGATTTTAACATTATGGCAGGGAGGCATCAGAATCGGAGTATTTCTCTCCCAGGAGTTCAGTTAAGCCCTCAAGTACATGCTTTTGGAAATTGTACAGACAGCGATATGTTGGAGGAGGATGCTGAAGTGTATGAACTTCGATCCAGAGGAAAAGAGAAAGTTCGAAGAAGTACATCAAGAGATAGACTTGATGACATTATTGTATTAACAAAAGATATACAAGAAGGAGACACTTTAAATGCAATAGCCCTTCAGTACTGCTGTACGGTAAGTTTTAATTTCATTTTACATAATGTAGTCCAGAGTAAAATTTCTCCCAATTGAAATAAATTCCGTCTCCTTTTATCTTATTACTTCTCTTTTTTTGCTTTTGTATTTTTCTTTTTCACATAGAGAGCTGTGCCCCATCTGTGGATGGTAACTTCTTAAATCTTTAACTGAATACTTGAATATATTTCTGAATCCATTATTCTGACACTTTAGCACATTTCTTTCTGTACCTTTGTTTTGTGCTTATATATGTTTGGGGGGTTGGTAATTTTTGTTTTTAAAATTACTATACGTATTACTCTACAACTTGGGTTTTTCATAGTTTACTATGGGCATTCCTCACGATAGCCTCTCATAACCTTTTAGATCTAATTCATTATTTTAAATAGCTGCATTATGTTCATAGTATGGCTGTACCAGTATTATTAAGCCATTCCCCTACTTGTTAACAGTCTGGATTTTCTTGGTGTTTTACACCGTGGGGTGAATATCATCCCAGTTATAGCTTCAAATAATGGTACCTTATTACTGTGGGATAGATTCCCAAAAGTGGGTTTGCTAGATTAAAGGAAATTATTTCATGTAAACATATTGGTATGGAAACTGGTTTTCAAACTTTGTTCTCATATTCCCAATCCAATAGAATCAGAAGTGTATCTATTAAGTATACTTCCTTGCACTTTTTCTTTTCTCCCCAATACTCACGTTTGAGCTGAGATTCTACCACTTGACCCACACCCTCAGCCCCCTTTTCTTTTCTGCTATTTTTTTGGATAGGGTCCTGCATTTTTGCCTGGAGCCAGGCTTGTATGGTGGTCCTCACACCTATGCATCTCAGGTAGCTAGGAGTGCAGAAGGGTGTTTCCATGCCCAGCTTATTTGTTGAGAGGGGGTCTTGATAATTTGCTTCTCTGGCCTTGGAACCATGAACCTCCATATCTTCACTTTCCAAGTAACTGAGGGTACAGTTGTATACCACTACATCGGCCTGTCTGCTTGTGTATTTTTAAGCAGAATTCTTAAGCCCTTCAGAGACTAAAACAGTTAATGAAGGATATAATTCCTAGAATATTGTTATAGTTGACATTTAAAAATAAGACTTATTAGAATACTCCTCAAGTCTGTCCCTGGAATCCTGAATACCACCAGGATTTGCTACCTGAAGTCTTCTTTGAAATACATGTTTGTGAGTCTTTATTCCCATTTTCCTGGGTGGGGAGCAGAAAATGCCCCCCCCACATCTCCCTACTTTATCCTGTTACAGTAAAATAAATCTGTGCTAAAACTTATTCATGTGTATACATATACATACGAGCTTTAATATTGTGAAATTCTTTATTGTTTTTCTCAATATTTTCATCCAGAGAATTTTTCATAATATAAGATGGCTTTTTTTTTTTTTTAACTTAGGGCTTTATGCTTGCTAGGCTCTACCACATGAGCCACACCCCAGCTCTTTTTGCATTAGTTTCCAAATAGAGTTTCATGTTTATACCCAAGCTACTCTGGACCTTGATCCTTTTATAGGACAGGCATACACCCAGCTTTTTTTGTGTGTGTGTGGTACTGGGGCTTGAACTCAGGACCTATAGCTTGAGCCACTCCACCAGCCCTTTTTTTTTGGTGGTGTTTTTTTAACAGATAGAGTCTCACAAACTATTTGCCTTGGCTAGCTTCAAGTTATGATCCTCCTGATCTCTGCCTCCTGAGTAGCTAGGATTATAGCCATGAGCTACCGCACTGGGTAAAGCTTAATGGTTTATTGATTACTCACCATACTCTAAAATAGAAACACATTTATAAATTTAAATAAATGTGTTTGTATTTAAATTGATTTAAAAAACTTCCTGTGGTCTTGAGGGCCTATGTATTTTTTTTTTCTGGATGAAGTAATTGTAATTTTTCACATTTTATCAAAAATACATATTTTGTTTTAAAATTTAATACAATCTTACCAAAATGCATGTTTTTAATAAGTAAGAACTGGATACTTGTTTTTCCCCCCTCACATAATGGCCACACAGCTGTCACTATTAAATCAGAAAATCTAATTTCATTTTTTAAGGCAAAATAAACATGAAAATAGGTGTTTTGTAGAGAAATAACACCACTGAGAAATAAATGACGGAATGTATCTTGGAAGGTCATAAAGGAAAAACAAAAAACAAGGTGGAGATCCAAGAGGAAGAATGGTGCAGTAGTTTTATTAGAGAAAGATGTTAGTTTTCTGTAAATTCTGTTTAGAAGGAAATTTGAAATGCCATTCAAGTGATTAAAAATAGCCTATATTTCTAGTGAAGTACAAACGAGAAAGGGTTTTAGGCATCTGACAGTGGTGTGGAGGTTTTAAGAAGTAAATAAAATGAATAATGGAGTTTCATTAGGTGTTTCAGAAACAAGTGGCACAGACTAGGATGAAGCACTTTGATGTATACTGAAAGAATATCATTATTGTGAGGTTCTAACAGGAGTGAAACAAAAATGGTGGAGGACCCTGCTGGTGAAACTTGAGGGGATCTAATAGAGAGATAATTAGAATAATTCAACTAAAGATGACCGAGGCTTAGACTAAAATGTGTGATAAAACTAGAGAAGGTGATAGAAAATATATAGTTGGCTAACACCTATCATCCTAGCTATTTGGGAAGCAGAGCGATCCAAAGGATCGCAATTCAGTAAGTCCAGTCCAGGCAAAAAGTTCATGAGATCCCCATCTCAACTAATAAAAAAGCTGGGTGTGGTGGTGCACACCTGCCATCCAGCTACGAGGGAAGCATAAATAGCAGGATCCCAGTCCAGTCCAGCCCATGCATAAATGCTAGTCCCTACCTGAAAAATAAGCAGAAAGGGCTGGGGATGTGGCTTAAGCATAGAGTATGTGCCTAGCAAGCACAAAGCTGTGAGTTCAAACCCCAGTACTGCCAAAAAAAAAAGAATGTATTTGGTGAAAAACCACAGGATGCATTAGCTGATTCAGTTTTTGAAAGGAAGAATATAAGCCAGAAGTGTAATCCCACCTACTCAAGAGGGAGAAACAGGAAGATCGTGAGTTTGATGCCATCCTAGGCAAAAAGGTAGCAAAACTCTGCCTGAAAAACAGATGGGCTGGGGACATAGCTCAAGTGATTGACCATTTGCCTACCATGTACAAGGCCCTGGGCTCAATCCCCAGTACTGAAAAAAAAAAAAAAAAAAGTTTTAGGAAAACTGATCAGCTTAATATTGGGGAGAATTAGAGGACCCCCTTTTTGATGAGAGCTCAACTAGCAAAGAAATATTAACCTTAGTAAAGGATTTATCATTTTAAGAATGCAATAAGTACTGCCATATTTCACCTACAAATAAATAGTCTTAAGAATTATTAAAAAACATGCCAATTATAAAATGGTGCTGAGAAAAAATTCAAGGTTAGAATCCTAAATGCAACCAGAGAAAACATTATTAGTTATGTTCAGAGATATAACATAGCTGGATGCCAAATCTTGGAAGCCTAGTTGAGTCTTGAACAGTTACACATAAGTGTGTAATTCCAAGCAGAGAGCATTTAAAGAGAATGGAGTTGCGCTTTAGAATTTGTTAATGAGTCTTTGTTTGATTTAAGACAAAACAATCCCAGAGTTCTAACATGATAAAGCACCTTCATTTCATCTTATTCTTCTCCCACCTCTCCCTCCGTCTCCTACTCTATACATACACTCTAAGAGTTTTTCCAATATGACCTCTTTTCACTCCTCCTATAGTAATGACTACTAATCTTCAATTGATGCAGTTCATCACTCCTAAATATTGTTTGCTTGACAATGCAGGTTCCTGATTTTCCTACTAACTAATATTTAATAACAGCTATACCTTATGTAATATGCTGTATAGCCCTGCTCTAAGTGTTCATCATGCACTTTAATTCGTCAATATTCATACCAACCCTGTAATGGGTAATATTACTACTGACAACTTACAGGTGGAAACTGGCAGAGAGGTTAAACAGAAAGTGTCAGTCATGCTTCAAACCAAGATAGCCATGGTTTTAACCACCATAGATAATACTACCTGCTTGTCCACTCTTTTATTACTCTCCTTTGTCACTTTTTCTTACTCTCTTTATTGAATGTTGAGACATTCGAATGCCTCAGATGTTGGCATTCCTCAGGGATCTTTCCTGTCACCTTTTTCTCCCACTCTACTTCTAGTGAATCTGTCCATTCTCAGATTATTTTTCTGATTTTCAGACATACATCTTCAAGCATTTACTGAACATCTTCAACTTGTGTATCTCAAGTATCTCAAAGCCCATGTATCTAAATTTCATGTTCATCCTCTTCTTACTTTCCACAGTGTGAATATTTCAGTTAATGGCATCTCATCCAGGGAATTGACCAAACCAGAAATTTAAGTTCCATCCTAGACTGACTTTACCTGTGTTGACATCAGTTGGGTGACACATAGATTAAGAGCTTAGATTAAAGCATTGACTGAAATGAAAAATGGGACTAACAATTTAAAGGTGGTGAGAGAAACTGGCATACTAGTTGTTAATCTGAGGAATACTTCTCTCTTCCCCTTCATCACAATGGCATAGAATAGATGTAGACAAGTGATGAGGGATTCCGGGGAAAACCAGAAGATGAGTGAGTGGGACTAATTACTATATTTTACTATCAGGTATATGTTTTTCCACACGTTTTAACATCTTCGAAATTACAACAATGGCATCTTCATTATATTTGGTGCATTTTTTTGCCATTAGAGGTACATAAAATAATGGTGCATCTTAGAGTTAATGACATCTTAGTTTTGCTCAAATGTTAATTTTTTGGGTAAGTTAACATTTGCCTATACTCCCAATTGCGAAATTGGAAAAAAGAACCTAAGTATCTATAATCCTTCCTTCCAATCAGAACTGTGGTATTTGTGCATGATATACAATGTACAAAGGAAACAGCAAAAGATCCAAGAATCTACCTAAATAGCTAGCATTAATCAGTGTTACTAATAAATGGGTATAATAAAAAAAGTAGTTGGTGATTTCTTGAGACTAGCAAATAAAAAATGGTTTAAAATTCTCATCTACAATTAAAATTAAAATCTCTCTGGGTGTGGTAACTTAGCACTACTAAAAATTAAACTTTTTTCCCCTCCAAAATTAAGTGGATGAATGGTAGTTGCTACCTCGTTTGATTTAGAATTCAGGTGAATGTTGTATTTTTCTTTTTTACAGGTAGCAGATATCAAGAGAGTTAACAATCTCATCAGTGATCAAGACTTTTTTGCTCTTAGGTCCATCAAAATTCCAGTTAAAAAGTTTAGTTCATTGACTGAAACATTGTATCCTCCAAAAGGAAGACAGGCTTCACATCCATGTGTTCAATATGCTCCAGAACAACAGGAAATTTTGCCAGCTTATGATTCTCTTTGTTCCAGTGAGTCAGCTGGTAGCTTTTTAAAAGAAGTAGACAGAGACATAGAACAAATAGTGAAGTGTACAGACACTAAGAAAGAGAACCTTAATGAAGTAGTGTCTGCTCTAACAGCCCAACAAATCCGTTTTGAACCTGATAATAAAAACACTCAACGTAAGGATCCCTATTATGGAGCAGACTGGGGAATAGGTTGGTGGACAGCTGTAGTGATAATGTTGATAGTAGGTATAATAACACCAGTGTTTTATTTGCTGTATTATGAAATTTTAGCTAAAGTAGATATTAGTCACCATTCAACAGTGGACTCTTCACATTTGCATTCAGGAATCACACCCCCATCACAGCATAGAGAAATGGAAAATGGAATTGCTGCAACTAAAGGAATACACATTGGACAACAAGAGGATCAGAAACTACATAATCAAGATTATCAATCACCTGTTGCTCAACACAAAACATAGAAATTGGCTGATCATCATAATGTTAGTAATCACATGTGCGTCTGGAATGCAAGGATTCAATTATCCCAACCACTTCAAAGGCAGAATTTAGAGGGTGCTTTTTCTTCTTTACCTTCCTGAAATTTTTGAGGTATTTACAATTGGGATATGTATAAAATTCCTGCAGTTGCTAGTTGTTTGTGTTGAGGGAAGTCAATCTGTAAATCTGTTACATAATTACTTAAAGCAGAAGTGAATTTAAATGTGTTCAAGAAGTTCTTAACTTGGAAGGTGTGTCATTTTTCTTACTCGAGACGACTCAGGTTTAAATTTTATCTTAAAGTTTGTGTTAAATTTGTGAACCAGAATGATAGTTTCAGATATCTGCAACTGAAGAAAACTTATGATTGTGAGCCATCAAAATACCTAGTTGCAAACAGTTTGATTCTAAAATTATTTATGATAGTAAGTACTTGACATTCCATTTTGAAAATTTAAAAAGTTTAGCACATGTGCTACGAAGTATAAGTAGAAATAAATGAAAGCGTATACAATTCCTACAGTTGAGACTAAGAAATAGATATTTTTAAGACCCCAAAATAATATTAGTATGTGGTTGGAAGTTGTCATGTGATCACTGGAATAGGTCAAGATCTAAAAGTAACATTTGTCTCTTAAAGAATGCTTTCTTTAAGACCCTTTAAACCTCATTTCTGCTTATGTTTTTAAAATCATACTTGCTTGATATTTGAAAGCACTTTTGTAGTTCTTTGATGAAAAGTGTCATATGGGTACAGATTAGCATTATTTAGGAAATAACTCGTTACATACTGTGATGAATGCCTTAATTATATTTTGATGCCTTATTATTTTGTGTAAGTTAATATACATTTTAAAATTAAAACAGGATTATTTCAGATAGTCCAGTTAGATTCATTATGTAGGCTCTTTACATAAGCTATGTAAATTTGTTTCTACCTTCACTTTCAAGCACAAGTTAATGGGATCAGACATATCTTTGTCTGCCTCTGAGGTCTTGCAGAAAATTATAAATTAAGCAAAAACAGGAGTGAAGAGGGCTTTCGCATCATCAATACGAGACATATTGCATTGTTGATCCCTTAACCTCTGTTTTTCAAAAATAAAATGCCAACACTACTCTTTCCTGAACTATAACATCAAATCGGGGAACAGAGGCCAAAGATTTATGGTTTGGTTAAAAGGCTTGATAATGCTACTTTCTAAGATCTGCTATGGATCAGCCAGTCTGGCTAAAGAAGTATTTCCATACTGATTTCATCGTTTAATTTTTTTTAACATGAAATGTGCTTTTTTAAAATACAACTAAAGTGATTCAATAGAAATGAGATTTGGTGGAGTGAATCTGGACTGCCTGTGTTGTATATAATAAAGTATACCTTAAGATATGTAATACCACTTCATTTTCTGGGCATTATTTCCTAGCTTTGTGTTTCACCTTTTTGATTAGTCATTTAATATCTCAAGTTCCAATCCAGGTACAAAGTGATGTGAGTAAATTTGGTAATTGAGGTTTTATGTACTTTAAGGAGAAAAACATAAAGACAGGACAAAGAAGTCACTTCCTTTTTTCCAGTATTGGTGTTTGAACGGAACTGAGGGCCTATACCTTGAGCCACTTCACCAGCCCTTTTTTTTGTGGTGGGGTTTTTGTTTTGGTTTTTTTAAGAGATGGGGTCTCGAACTATTTACCTGGGCTGGCTTCAAGCCAAGATCCTCCTGATCTCTTCCTCCTGAGTATCTAGGATAACAGGCGTGAGCCACCTGCACATGGCTAAGAAGTCATTCTTAAAGTCTGAGGCCTTTAGAAAGTTACCAAAAAAAGTGTTTAATAAGGAAGTTTTAGTGAATTGATTTTAAGTAATGCTTAGAGTTAAAATAATTTTGGTTTTAATGTGCCTTGGGCATTTTGAAAAGAGGACTATGATCTTTTATTTTCAGTGTTATCTTGGTCATTTTACATTCTATTTATTACCTGCTAGAAAATCAAGTTTTAGGGTAGAAAATGCAGATTATTTTAGGGTAAAAGAGGCTAAATGTTCTTTAAGGAACTTTGTTTACGTCAAATTGATGAAATTAGGGTCCATGATTCCTTTGGTCTAGTTGTACTTAGAAATTGTGACAGAACAGTCTAAGTACTTATTTTTAAAGTAAGGAGATATACTGTATACTTGATTAAAATTGTGTCTGTCTTGCAAAATACCCTTTTTGAAGGAAAGACAGTATATGTCCTTGTGAAACATACGATCATTTCCTTTTCTATTTTAATTACATATTTTTAAATTTTGCATATAATCTGAAATGTAATTCTGTATATAGAATTATGGGTTAATCTGTTTTTAAAAGAAAAAAATGTAAGCATTTCATAGATTTAGCTTTTAAATTTTAGTAATACACATTAAATTTGTACCAAACTCAAATTATATTGTGTAACAAGATGACACAAGCACAATTGTTGTATATTGTGGATTTTAATTGTGTCCAAACCCTTATTTGAACTGACTTTGAGGCTTTACGTTTCCTTGTACGCATGTATTTGTGTGTAAAAGTTACAAAACCGAATAATTGCATTTGATTCACCTAAAAATTTGGAGTTGCAAGTGAAAAAAAAATCTGCTATTTTTAGGGCAGATTCTGTTTTTTTTCTTTAAGTCTGGGTAGATAGAAATAGTTGTTTTAAACTAATGAGTGGCCATTGAAATTAAATGTTTTTGCTGTCCTCTTCTAGAAAAAAAGACGATGTGATCTATTGTCTGTGTTAAGAATTAGAAAGAAGGCTATAATGTCAAGTTACCTTCTCCAAAGGACTTTTGATTTCTTAAAGCTTTTCTTTTTCTGGACTCTGCCTGCTTCTCAGTGCCCTGAAAAGTTCTCTAAATGAACCACTACCTAGTAATTTGTTCTTCTTCTTCTTCTTTTTTTTTTTTTTTAAACATCTACTTCTAAGATTACTCATTTGGAAGTATGAAGTGTATAGTTCTAGAAACAAGAAAGATCCAGTCAAAGTATTACAGGTTATACTGAAATGGTGCATTTTGATGGGAATCATTCTCATTTTAATTACAATGTTGCTCAGGAAGTCAGTATTTTTCTACTAAGTATGTGCATATTGCACTGTTCTATCATAGAAATAAATGAATGCCTTATTTAACTTTATGTATGCAAAAGCTATAAATCTTGTATTTTATACAATTGCAAAATGTAATAAAACATGTTAGCATGTACATTTGTAAAAATTGGTTTTTAAAACTTTTGGCCCCTTTTCATATTTTAGAAGATCTGCAAAATGTAATAAAGTTTCTATTTTATTATTCAATCTAAAATGCAAGCTGGTGAATTTAATTGACTAAAACAAACCTTTTCTCTATCTTGAAACTGTTTGATATAGAGATACTATGTAAGATACAGCAAGCTGACAAAGGTTTATAAATTCAGATTTACCCACTTGTGATACTTGAAACAGAACCTGCTGGATTATTTGTAGGACATAAATGAAACAAAAGTTCTGATGAATGGTCTTTGGGAGCTTTTCTTCTGAGGCATGGCCTATGAGCTACTTATGAAGCCCTGGATCAGACATGAAATGCTCTATATGTAAATTTTAGTTTATTGTAAAACATTCTTTTCCCTTCAAGAATATTAATTTTAAGTTATAAGTAGAATTGAGAAAGTTCTTCGGATATTTTACTTAGAGGAAATTATGTTTTCCCATTTTTAAAAGCATGTTAATCTTACAGTTTTGTTTACATTTTTTTTTAAATAAAAATGAAAGTTTTACTAACTCCCGATACTTTAACTGTATTAAAGCAAAACTGTTGATACTGTACACTTTTGAAGGTGGTGAAGAAAGGAAAGATTAACAAGAATCCTCTGAATGTTTTTACATTCTCTGGTAACAGTCCAAGAAACCAATGATTGCATTTTACTCCCTACCAAACATCATAGTTTGTTACTACAACTTTTTTCCTAATCAGATATACCTAGAGTTGATTAAATCACCAATATTTGGTAGAGGGATCCAACTACATAAAATCTGTATTAACAAATAGTTTTCTCAACCAAATAAAACATCTTAACACAATTTTACTTTGTTAAGAATTTAATGTGTAAACAAATACAAAAAAAAAGCATTATAGCAATTTTGCTTCTAATCTTAAAGACTTCAGTATTTTTTTATATTTAAGACGCTATCTCTGCAAAATGAAAGTGTGCCTTCCTATGAAATAACTTCACAGTCTCAGATTTGAAGCCCCCCAAAAAGATATATGTTGGTAAAGCAGCCTGCAAATACAATTCCTTTACATTGTGAAAAGATCTTTCAAAGGGGAAGAAATGTGCTTAAAAGAGGTGGCTGGGGCCTCCAAGAGTAAATGCTCCACTATCTGCAGGACTGCAACACTGAAGACTGAGCTAGAGAAAGATGTTTGCCTTCAGTGTATGTGCACAATTAAGAGGTTATCTATGGACATGTAATAAAGCAAGAGCTGTCAGATAAGATTTCTATGAACTAAATGGTATATGGTCCTGGTACCAAAGGAGGTGAGAGAATAAGACACCTATGTTAATAATTCCCAAATAACTTTATTTGCCATCATTTCTGAAAATTTCTTGTGTGGTTTCTAAGTATAACAAATTATAGAAGAAGGCATTTTATGTTTCTACTTAGAATCTTAAAAATTTTTGATAAGCTCCTTTAAACAAGAATCCAGTCACCTTTGACCAGCACAGTTCTAAACCAGTAAGATGGGTCCTCAAACCCATCCAGAATTATTTGAGGAAGTATATTGCATTGAAAGTGATCTTTTTCCTGAGACAAGAATGTTGCAAAATTGCACTAGACAATGTAAATTTTCCCCACAAATACAAGATAGGCAAGTCAGATTATAATATACTTTATGATGAAAACATTTGTTTCTCAAAACTCTTTTCAGTTATTTTTCAAGCTGTAACTGTTTAGAGGGTAAGAACTAAACTTAAGAAATAATCATTTCTGTAAGGTAAGAGAATATATATGATAAGTTCTGGTGTTTTAGCATTTTTCATAGAAAATTGTTAATAAGTGGAGAAACTAAGGCACAGAAACTTAACCAAACTCATGTCAAGGCTGAATCTAATATAGGTAGAAAGAGAATCTAGAGATCCAATTCTCAGGTGAGAGGGTAATGGGTAATATATCTCCCCATCCAGGGAAATAAACTTCCTTCTAATGGGTAATCCTTTGAAATATGTAATATGCACTTCCTTGAAAATCTTTGGCATTGTTAAGTTTCTGGAGTCTGAGGTGTCTATGTATTTTCTCCCCAAAATATAAAATAGCAGAGGAGCTAGTTTGTAAGAAACAAAAAGATCAATGTTAATTTCAAAATGACCTGAGCTCATTCTGCATTATTAGGTAATCAACTGTACAGCATGAGTTCTGTGGAACAAAACAGGCCAGTATACCAAGTTCACATACATGCATTCTGCTACTGCTATGAAGTTCATATAACCAGAACTTAATCCCACACTTACATAAAGTACAAAATTAAACAGATGTGTCTCAGTCTAAGTTTTCATAAGCCCAGCTATCTGAAGACGTCGAACTTCTTACTGTGATTTATCTATTGTAGAGTATGAAGTTCCCCCAAACCAAGTATTTGTAATATTCATCCCACATGAAAATCTCCTTGTCCTGGCTGGGATGTGAACTTTGAAACTTGTATAGCTCACATTGATATTTTTCCATGACTATGTTTTCAATCACAAAACCTCAAAACTCAAATTTGCACTTGTATGAGCTCAGGTAGGTTTTGAAGTCACAATATAGTAGTATAGAACATATCACATGAAAGGAAAAAATATTTTTCAAGTTTCTTTGTTTTTAAAGTGCTTCATGTGCTATATTAATAGAAATCCACTATGACTAGTAATAATTTTGCAAAAGATCAGCAGTTAAACAATGATTTGTTCAAGTATGAAAACAGATTGAGATGCTAAAACTCTTTAGGCACATTCAAATCCAAGTAATTTTTGAAAGTCCACTAGCATACATAAGAAGTGATGGCAGAGGTGTTTCAGAGGAATGTCAGAGTCAAACTATAAGGTAGCAATAGTGTGTAAACTCAGTGATTATGCATGTTTTGAAAACAAATATTTGTCAAAAAAAATGCACTCATTTGTTACTAGAAATAAAACATGATTAAATCAAGTCTGTCCAAATACTCAGAACTGTATCAAAAGTTTTTTTGAGAAATTTCTTGATTAATAGGTTGCTTCATCCATGTTGTCATCACTATCTGCACCAAAATCATCTCCATCTTCAAAGTATGAATTAATGTAGTCATTTTCCTAAGTGAAATGATATATTCCTTAGTAAATAATAAAATAATAATGTTAAAGAATACATTGTAGGCTGTCCATTTATAAATACAAAATTCAGGTAATAAGAACATATAGCAGGATTAAGAGTGTTTTTTTTACTCTCAGAAAACAGTTTCCACACAATCTACCCATGTCACTTTCTTCCTCAAAGCACCACCTCCTATTCTCAGACACTAACCAGCTAGGACAATATAAAAGGCTGCCCACCTTTTTCAGTAAGATGAAACATTTAATGCAGTCTCTGAACAGAATGACACATGCCTAATTAGCTAAACCACTAAACATTTATTCCACCAATGCCCAGACAATCAGTTTTTGCATCAATATTCATTAACCAGAACTGAGGTTTGCAGTCACAAAGTACAACTCAGCATAAGCAGAGGGACTTTTGCTTCCTTTTCAGAAAAGTCCTCATACCAAATCAAACTACAGGCTACCATGTTACATTCTATCCAAGGCCTCTCAGTATCTTTTATATTAAGATAAGCCCCTGGAAATGGTCTAATTCCAAACAGCTAAGTAAAGTTTTCATTCCTATAAATGACTCAGATGATATCTGTGCTTTTTATCAAAAGTAGTGATATAAATTATATTTGGATTCTGACTGGAACAAACACTTTTTGTGGGACGATCTAACACTGGCTTGATATTTAGTAATATTAAGGAATTGCATTTCATTGTATGAGGGGTAATGATACTGTAATGTTAAAATGTCCTTATTTTTGAATCCACACTTAAATATTTATGGATGACACACAGTACCTAGGATTTGGTTTACATTAATACAGTGTAGATGTAGGGTTGGAGGTAGGACACACAGGGACTAAGTGGATGAGTGGTTGAAAGATTAGCTATGAAATCATTCTACAAACTGGGTAATTAATCCATTGCTATTTTACTAGTCACTAGATTTTTGTACACGCTCGAAATCTCCCATGATAAAAAGTTAATCTCCACATCTCTACTATCTATAGTAAGAAGTGAGACTATTCTCAAAAGATACCAGCTTTATTATTTTCCTGAATTTTTTTTTAGTACCTAGATGGTAGCATTTTATACTGAAATGTATATAAAATAATGCATGAAAGGTAACTTGCTTTATTCTGATTTTTCATTACTTTATCTTTCCTAAATACTCTGTTTCTGTATCCACTTTAGATCCTTTCCAGATCCAGAGAGTTGGTCTAGTTTCTGTTGCTAAGAAATCCAGAAAGGTCAATAAACCTAGCTGAAACTTAGTGCCTGTGTACAGGAGAGAGATGGCATGGCTGAGAGTGCAAATGAAGACATCTTGTAAATGAGACTTTGGCAAACATGTCTATATGGAAATATAAACAAGTCAATTTATAAAAGAAGTGAGTAAGGAAGGGAAACTCCAGCATTTCAAATCAAAGTATATGTCACTTGTGTATGCTCAGTGATTCACACTAGTAATTTTGAGATATTAGTAATCTTGACACTTATAAAGTAGCAGAACCTGTTGAAACAGGTTCCTAAACAACTAGAATTTCAATATTTGTTATTTTTGTGAGAGATCTTAAGTTCAACACAGGATATATTCAGATTCAACTCAAGTGGACTTTGTTAACAGAACATTCGAAAAACCTGTCTTGTCTAGAATACTGGCCACTACCCACAGAACCTAGTAGCACTAGCCCCACAAGCCAGCTGTGATAACCAGCAATGTCTCCAGATATGTTAGCCATTTAGTGGGGGTTTTTGGTGGCATCCCTATCTCTGATTCCTCAAAAATGGCCACTAAGCAGGTTTAAAAGGAAGAAGAGGCAAAGAGTGGAAATGTTTAAAGGTTACTTTGGTATAGAGTATGTGCTGGAAGGACAAGAGACAATAGTAATGGCAAGAAAGAGGATGAGGGATGAGCACAGAAGGAGTTAAGCTCTTTACAAATGAAAATTAAGACAGGGAACCAACAGAAGGATGCAGGTTGAGAAGTACTAACCATCTCATCATGCCAGGGTTCAAGGAGAATAAAAGTAATCTTCAAAGAGAGGGATAAACAAGATATGTTTAACTCAAAAATATTTAATTAAGCCACTCTTGGTGGCTCAGGCCTGAAATCCTAGATACTCAGGATGCAGAGATCAGGAGGATCACAGTTCAAAGCCAGCCCAGGCAAATAGTTCACAAGACCTTATCTTGAAAAAACTCATCACAAAAAAGGGCTTAGTGGAGTGGCTCAAGGTATAGGCTGAGTTCAAACCCCAGTATGGCCAAAAATAAAAAAGTTTAGTTAAAATTTATCTGAAAGAATAAACAGAATACTCAGATAAATTATGAAAAAGGAGGGTAGCAAGAAAGACATGCCCTAATAATCAGAAATTTCTATTAATTGGAACAGCTAACTGTTGTTCCAGAAAAAGATGGGTTCAAACAGATTCCAGAAATACATCTAAGTAATTATAGGAATCTAACATACCAGCTGATAAAGGAAGAGTTTTAAATCAACGAGGAAAGCAAATCATTTAACAAATTAGCAGCTGGCTAACCATTTGGAAACAGAAAAATGTGTCTTTACCCTTTCCTTTATATCAATACCAATTTCTAAAGAATACAAAATTTAATGCAAAATAATTAAAAGTGTATAATAAATAACTGTTGGAACAGTTTCAGGTGAAGAAAAGACTCAGAATCTGGTTAAGGAGCTGAAATGGAGAAAAGGCAAAGATCATCAGAACTGGGGAGAAACTGTAAAGTCTCTTCTACTGTAAAGTCTACAAAGTCCTAAAGAGTTGACCGACAAAGATACCCTGCTCAAAAATACCTTCATGGACTCCAACTTAGAAATGTACCAATTTCTACAAATTGGAAATCCCAAGTCCAAAACACTGTGAGTCTTGACCTAGCCAGATAGCTAAAGTTTTATTATCAATGTTTTCTGATAAAACATTACACATGCACTTTGGAATTTGAAACATGGTGGTGTTGTAGGAATTCCCTTTCAGACCTGCATGACTTAGCCCTCAATTAACTGCTGACTTAAATTTTTTTAATAAATACTAACTGCAGTCTGATCAACTTCCTTAATTTGTGGACTTCCACTTACAAACATTTCTTTCAAGTTAGTTTTATCTCCTATATTCAACTTGGCATCATTATTTCAATGCTAAAATAATTCTCTTGATAACCAAGGAATTGATGCCAGCAATAAGAATATAGTTGTGAGTCATATCAACATATTTTGTTGTTGTTGTTGCAGCTGTGGTTGAACATGTAGCCTAGGCTGGCCTGGAACTTGAGATCCTCCTGCCTTTGCCTCCCAAATACTGGGGTTACAAGCATGTGCCACCATGTCAGCCTGGTTTCTATTTGTTGATTTAATTATGTGCCATATATCTGATTCTCTGTTATCTAACATTCTTACAGTCAGTGACTTTGTCACCCATACTGAAAAGGTCTTTACCTCCTCTTGCTCCTCTTCATCATATTCATCATGCTCTGCAGCATCATCATCGTCATTATCATCACCTTCTTTACTTTTCTCTTTGCTTCCTTCTTTCTCTTCATTTTCCTCATCTGATTTCTCACCATCACCTCTCTTTTCCAATTCCTGGTATAAGTGAGTTTCATTAATTTACATGGTAACCATTAGACCTTGACTTCACAGCCCAGCCTAAAGAGAACACAATTACTAATCACCTTACTCTAATCCAATCTTACCACCACCTCAGAAAGTATGAGTTAACTCAAGAAAGGGAGCACTTACCTCCTATCATTACATTAGTATTTCATGCTTTTATTACTTAAAAATTAAGTCTCAGATATTGCTGAAGATATCAGCTCTAACGCACAAAGCTTTATTTTTATGATTCTTACCCTACGTCTTTCTAAAATGTTTGACATGATGTAGTTTATACAGAAGAACTATCAGAATTTTATTGTTTTCCTTTTACCATAAAAGGAGAGAAAAAGAATGTAATGGTAATATTTCAAAATAGCTACACTTTGTTTTTATAAGTGAGATCGTTGAAAAATACTAATATCAAGTCATCTTGGGATAAATAATCGTATCTGCAGATTATCCCTGTCTGTGTCTTTTGTCCATTATTTACTTCCTATCTCCAGTAATTTTGCTTCTGGAAGGCTGAGAAAAAAGAGAAAATCACAGTGAATGCTAGTAATTATTAGCAATTCTAAGAGAAAAGGCAAAGGAGAGAAACATAGCTAAAAAAAGATTACATTGTCTAATGGTTCTACGAATCAACTCTGTAAAAATTATTATGCTACCTTCTGACAAATTTAATTTTACAAATGCAATTTGTATTTCTATTATAGCTATCAATGATTTCTTCCTTTGATAAAAGTGAGCCATTTTTATTACTGTCACTGTTCACTAAATTGTACTATGCTCACTTTGCACAAGTGATAGAATTTCAAAAGTTTTCTAGGAAGTGGACATAGCAATAATTTCACATTAATACTCATAATTAAGGCTTCACTTTAGCAAATTTTGTGATTACTCTTAAAAAGTAATTAGAACACTAATTTATGAATCTACAAATGTTATAGCTCTGTTATAAGATAGGTGATTTGTAGGTTGCATATAAAAAGAAGACATATTTTACATCTGGAGCGACTATAACTGAGCTATTCCTTCATTGGTTCTCAATTTTTAAAATCCTTTTAATTATGTCCAAATTTGAACTTAAGGAAATTAAAGACAATGAAAAGACTACATCACCTGGACTCAATGTAAAATAAAAACTCAAGCTTCCCTCTTTATTTCTTTCTTTATTCACCTCATTTGGGCAGAATAAATTAAGAACAACTAGCCTGGTGCCAGTGACTCACACCTATAATCATTGCAGAGGTCAGGAGGATTGAGGCCCCACACAAACAGTTCATTAGATACTATCTTGAAAACACCCACCATAAAAATGTGGCTTTAGTGGTAAGAACACCTTCCTAGCAAATGTGAGGCCCTGAGTTCAAATCCCAGTGCCACCAAAAGAAAAAAAAATTAAGAATTAAGACAATCACAATAGACATAAGCTTATTTACCTTGGTCTCCTTATGCTGCCTTATAAGTTAGTACTACAATATAATGTAGGCAATTTTTCCAACTGGCAATCTCCTTGGAAAATTGCAAATATGTTTTTAAATTTTTTGAAATATCTACAACATATACTCATGTATATAATGCTATGTTAACACTAATATGTGGTATTTTGTTTTTTCTATTTTAATGAGATCATAAGTAAAAAGACCTGCAACCCATAAATTCATGCAATCAAAATGGAAATGCAGTGCTATATTTAACTTTCTGCTAGGTATAGACAATAGCTGAAAAAAATCATGCTAGTAGTTATTATCTCATAATTAGCAATAGAATTATTTAAATAAGTTATGTAATATATATGTGTATGTATTTATTTATATATTTATTTATCCATGTGTGTATTTATTTATTCACTTACTTATTGGTATGGGGTTTGAGCTTAGGACCTTGAACTTGCTAGGCCAGTACTTTAGCCACAAAATATATTTTAAATATATTTTAAAAATATATTTATTTTTATCTCCAGCCCAAAATATATTTTAAACACAGAAATCATTCAGTGTGACCACAAGGAGTAGGAAGTCTATATTTTTCAACAACTACCACCTCAAATATCTTTTAATGTCATCCTCATTTGTACCACATAGACCCAAATCAAACCCATTAAAAACTTTAAAAGACTGACAAATAGAAGATTCACACAACTTTCTTCATAATCTCAGAACCATACACTTTGTCTGATTTCATTTCTTTTGTGTTATGCTACCAGTTTCAGCTTTTCTACTTAGTAGACTCCATTTTCTCTTCTGTGAGATTTAATTATCTAAGCTTAACACTTTACAGATTTAAGAAAAAAAGAGTAATATAATATAAAAACACCTGGAAAACAGTTCAAAGAGAGTAATTTTTCTAGATTAAGTATATACAGGCAGCATGCAGAGCATCCCCTGTATGTCATAAGAAATAAGAAGTTCACACGTGAGTTTATTGCTGTATGGTTATTCCTGGGATTAGACTGTATGTTGCTACCTCTCCATCCACAGATATTCTAGTATAGTAAAATTTGAAAATTGCTGGTAATCACAATCATCCAGAAGCAATTTTGACTCTATTAAAATCCATCTGAATTTTTAGATTTAAAATTCTAGCTTTGGGCTGGGGCTGTGGCTCAACTGATAAGAGTGCCTGCTTAGCAAGCACAAAGCCCAGAGTTCTAAACCCAGCACTGCCAAAAATAAATAAATAATAAAATTCCTGTTTTAACAGTGTGTGTCCTAAAAAGGTGTTAAATATAAGCAATAAGGAAATACAATTAGTTCTAGGGCGAAACCACACCCAGAGGTACAGATTAATCGTCCTTACAGCATCTTACAGGCAACTTAGTAACTTTCTCCGGGAAGCATTAAGAGCAGGCAGAACTTGTGTTTGATCAATGTAAGTTAGCAAGTCTGCAATCACATCTATCATTTCACCACACTTAAACCTGATATTTATTGATGACTTCATCAATCCTCCTGGCTTTAATTTTTGGATATGTTATCTTCAGTTCAAGCAAAAAATAAAATAGCAAAAACAGCAGTTTCTGTCACCAAGTATCTGTGCCAGCTTTGCACAGGTAAGTAAATGTTTTAAACCTTTGACTTCCTTATTTGTAAACAAAGACTAATAATACCCACCTCTCGTTGTCCTTACAAACCCTTAAGGACATAATGTATGGAAAGAGCTCATCAAAGAGGTCAGCACGGGGCTCAACTGGTGGAGCCCTTGCCTAGTAAGCACACGAGACAGACTGGCACACATAGTAAGTTCTCAGTCAGTGTCACTGCTGTTGTTTTAGTAATCACATCAGTGAAAGGTAATACATGCATTGATAGTGGGAATAAACTTATATAGAGCAATGTAGCAATGACTAATTGTTTTCTACAGTGCACAAAACAAGTGACCCAACAAGTTCACTTCTACAAATCCACCCTACTCATGTGAAATGATATACTTAAAATGAGTTCATTCCAGCATTATTTACAATAAACACTACACAAAACAGGTCTATCAGTAGAACACTGATTAAATAATTAATTAAATAAATTACGGTTCATCCTTATCATAGAACCAAAAAAAGAACAAGGCAACTCTACCTAGACTGATATGGAACCAAGTCCAGGATATTTTAATAACTGATAAAATGCAGAAGAGTATAATATGCTACATTTTGTCATTAAAACTGGAAAATTCTGTGTTAGGCATAAAATATTTCTGAAGGAATATATAAGAACTGGTAACATTGTTGGTCTACAACAAGGGAAATAAAAATCTGAAACAAGGATGGGAGGGCAAATTTTTGGTATATTAACTTCTGAATTTTACATGTTTGTTTGTTTTTTTTTTTAATAAAAGTAAGTTCTATAAGATAAATTTTCCTTTAATAGTCTTCTAGTCACACTGAAGACACAGAGGAAAAAATACATACATACCAACAAAAGAAAAGTAAGATTTTTCTGAAAGAACCACACTTTAGGTCTGTATTTCCATATTTCTTCCACACTGAATAATTAAATACAAGGGGAAAATAGAGATACAGTAGAAAAGAAAGCTTGTTATGCATGAGGCAAGTTTCTAGGTGAGTGGTCAAGAGGACAGAAGAGGGGCTGGAGGTGTGGCTCAAGTGGCAGAGCACCTGCTTTGCAAGTGTGAAGCCCTGCATTCAAATCCCAGTCCTTCTGTCAAGAAAGAAGAGAAAGCCTCCACATCTCCCTGCTAGGCAAGTTCAACCTTTCTGGTCTCTCTGTGTGCTCGGCTCTCTTCTGCCAAAGCCACATGATTTAAAAAGTCAGAGAAGGGTGAATGGTTGAAGTAAGAAGGTAAAAGAAACATGACATTTTACAATTGTTATGTTCATATAGTAAGAAAAAAATCATACCTCTATTTTTTTCAACACATCTGCAGCATTAGTGAGCAAAGCACCTTTGTCTGTATCTTTTGCCTTTTTGGATTTCAGGTCTGCTGAAATAAAACTACCAGTTAATATATTTTTCCACAATAGTAACTGTGATTATATTTCTATACCTTTACATATGCTGTCTGGCATAGAGGCATGTCAATGCCAGGCTGTCGCATAATTTTCAGAGTGAATTATTATCAAAGAAAAAGCTAAATCATCACATCTTGCCAATTTTCCAATGAGCAAATGGTAATCACTTTTTAAAATATTTTTAAAAACTGCAAGCAGATATAGTTTTAGTAGGTACCAAAATTTGAGTCAGCAATTAAGATCAGTAGGGACAAAGCTCATACACTATTACCTCAGACAAAAGTACCAGAGTACCAAAAGGCTCCCACAATTATATCTGCACTGGCTTCCTGTTCACTCACCATTGCACTTTATTTTACCAAAGCAATCTTTACCAGATTTGGATAATTAAAAAGAAATATAGGATAAATATGTACTTGCTGATGAGAAAGAGGTTACAATCAATGCAACAAAGAACTATCTTTGGAGTGAAAATGAAAATGGTTAAACTGAACAAGCTCATCACATGAATTTCAAACTTCATATAAATGAAATAAAACAATTTAATGGCATTGAAATATATAATTTGTTTTACTTATCAAAAATACTACATTTGTAAGGCTATCCTGAAACTGAGGACAATAAGAATTATTTTACATATAGATTCTGCCTGTCAGTTACCAAAACATTCTAATATGTTACAAAATTGTCCTATCATAATCTTTTCCAAAATCAAACTAATTACCTAGAAATCACTTGGTAACAGAGAGAAATATGGCCCAGAAAAATGTAATTTTAAAGATTAACATTTAAGCCACAGAAGAAAAAAGTTTTTAGAATGTAGTGGATGGCCCATAACTGATGGAATTGCAGTTTACTGAGAGCAGGACTTCCAAACATACATTGGTGCAGTTTGCTTAAACAAAAGCAGTGAGATTTAGTGATGGGTAACTTCCTCTGCCCTCTTTGAGAGCAGAAACTACTTAATATGAACTGCAGCACATAAAATATAGCATCATATATTAACAAGACTTCAATAAATATAATGCTGACTTCAAAAACTACTAGATAAAGACTATAATTTACCCACACCATGAACTGTTTTTCCCTAAGAACTTTTTGTCAAAATGTTTATTTCATAATATGTAAGCCTACTAAAGGGATACTATAGAACATGGTCAGCCAAATATATTTATAAAAATTATAAATTTCTTTTGGCAGGAGTAACAGTACTGAGGTTTGAACTCAGGGCTTTGTGCTTGCTAGGCAGGCACTCTACCAATTGAGCCATGCCTCCAGTACTTATTTTTCTTTTTACAAATGGAAATCCTAGAATACTAGATGTTTTTATTAGATTAATATGTATATGAAACTCCAAGGATGAGCAGTCTGTGGGACATATTTAAAAACTTTAGTTCTTCCAAAATGGACACACTGTTTTCAGCTTTTTACAGTCTGCTACAGATTTATGATCTGTTAGGACATAAGTATCATTTATGCACATATTTTGTTATGATGAAAATAATGTATTTGCCCAGTAAAAACCAAGGGTACAGAAGATAATACATGGCTGTCATATCTCAAAATATTCTGTATTCAAGCTTAATAATCTTCTACACCTTTAAAATAAAATAGAAATACTTCTGTCTTAAATACAGAGATATAAACTTCAATTATGTATATTTTACTATATCCCAATTATACTTTAATAAAGCTGTTTTTTTTTTTTAATTTAATTTTTTTTTTTTAAAAGGACAGTGAAAATTTCCTCTCTTCTCTTGGTTGTTAACCCTCCTGTTCTTAATCTCTCTGGCTATTCCCCTTTTCATTCTTCACATTAAAATTCTCTGAAGTCTCATCTATTCTAGCCGTCTAAGGCTTCCATTTATATTTAACCCATTCCAATCTGGATTCTGCCTCTGCGAATCTCTTAAAAATCCCTGAGGATACCAAAGCCTGCCATAAAAAGAACAAGTTAACAGTTTCCAGGCTTCATCTTACTTGACCTCTCAGCAGCATTGTTTCACATTGCTGATCATCTCTCAAAGACTCTTCCCTGCTGTCCACTTCCAATTCTGGTAACTCTGCTCTCCTGGCTTCCTTCTCCCTCTCCTCTTCCTTTCATTGCTTACTTAGTCTTCTTTAAATTTTGGAATTCCTCCATGGTCAGGCTTAGTCCCTTTTCTCTTTTAATTGTCTAATCTCATCCTAGACTACTCCTCCCCTCTCAGAGGCTCAGACCTCTGCTGATGACTACATCTCTATCCTCAGGTCCATGTCCCTCTATCCAACAAGACGTTAACATTTGTGTGTGTATATCTCAAAGAAAGAACGAGTAATTCCTACTCATCCTCCAGTGTCAACTCCAATTCCATTTCCTCAAAGATCCTTCCGAGACTTCCCAATAAGGGTTGTATATTTATGTTTGGTGCTTTTACTCCACCTGACTGCAAGGTCCATGAGGGTACAGATAGTCCACTCTGTTCACTATTCTATTCGTCTCAGCTCAGTGTTTGGCAATAGTAGATATTCAACTATTTACTGAATGGAATTACTAAAGAAAAACAGGTAAACATAACAAAAAACTCAATTTTACTCATTTTCAAATTTGAAGATATGTTACTTAGTAACATAGAATGCAGCCAGAATAATCATAAAAACTTTTACAGATAGGCAAATGAGAATGCCTGTATAACTGAAAAGTCTTTCCTAGCACATCAAATTTCCACAATTAAACTAAGAACAACAGCTGAACAAACAACCCTGTGGGGAGTGGATTATAAGAAGCCTATGAGAACTTGACATAAGCACAGCTGTGCCCAATAATCAGCAGGCTGAGTTTGGCAGGGCCCCAGCCTCAGAAGAGTGCAAAATGCAGCACAGCTGCTTTTCCTAAGTTGTTTATGTTCAGAGAAGTAGGAAGGCAGGTTTCTCTTGTTACAGTGTCATGCCCTTCACCAATGTCACCCTCCTCCCTCAAGAACTGTTGCTCCACCTCGTTTACCACTGTATATAAAAGACTCACTGAAGGAGGAGGCAAAAGGGTTTTTTGATGGGGATTTTTGATTGGCTGCCGCTGCTGCTGACTGTGTGTTTCCACCAGAGCAGCTTTCTTCACTGAGAACTTTATACATAAGCTTTAGGAAAGCTAAGCTAAAGAAAAGCTAAAGAGAACATGCGACAGTGCAAGTCTAAGCACTGAGACAGTAAGAGTTATGCTAATGCAGTTTTTAGATGTGTCTGCAAGTCTGAGTGCCAAGACTTTAAAAGGGAACATGGGACAGTGCAAGTCTGAGGGCAAAGACTTTAAGAGACATTAAGGAAAACAAGGGACAGTGCAAGTCTAAGGAACGAGACTTTAAAGAATAGAAAAGAAGCAAGGTTTTAAAGAATTGTAAAGGAGTAAGACCTTAAAGAATACAGAAGAAAAGAAGCAATGAGGCTGTGTGTGTCTCCATCCGAGCACCCAACACACCTGGGCCCAACTTCATGCATGTCTGTCTTCTATCGTTTGTCCGTTCTGAATCTCCAGTCACCCCTGGTTAGGTTCAATAGGACCAGGAGCGTGAAAAAGCTCACTCTACAATCACTCCCCAAAGAAAAATCAGTAACAGGAACAAAAACCAAGAGTGAGCAAAATAATCAAAATGCCAGATGTAGTTTAAAAAAAAGCATTCAGAATACCAAGCAGAACTTTAGATTAGCAATTCTATTATTAATAGAATTTAAACAATAACCTTTTCCTGCCTGGATTACTATTATGTTAGTCAATGTACCTTTTTTGCATTTTTTCCTTGGCCTCATCTCTCTTGGGAGTCTTCTCCAATCTATATGTATGAAAGAAGAAATATAAGTTTCAGTTAGGGGAATACATGCACTGCACACAACTATTTAGAGTGCACAGTGACAGTTGCCCATGCAAAAACAATAAAATTTCTTAGTATCTGATTGTACATATTTAGCCTGAAATACAACAAAACAAACATGACAGTGATATTTATTCTCATATAAGGAAAAGGAGTTCATTAAAATCGCTTTGAAATAGTGCAATAAATTTGTTGGGAACAGAAGCTTTTGTGATAATTCTTTGTAAATGTTAGAATTAGAACTGTTCTTATTAAATATTTATTTCTTGACTCTTTGTATTTTCCAAATTGTCTGTAACTGACATATATTTCTTATGAAACAAAGAATTTGTTTTAAAAGTTAAAGGATGTGACCACAATTCCAATACAGGAAAAATGAAATAAATGATTCCAATAATTATTTGGAAACTTTAAAATTAAAAATATAAGAATAGCTAATAAGGGATTTTTGCCTTCATCAGCTAAGTGACTCCTCTAATTATTTACTTTCTTTAATTTGAGAGGTGGGGTTGCTGGGGATTGAACCCAAGGCCCCATACATGCTAGGCAAGTGTTCTGCTGAGCTATACCAACAGGCCCCACTTTCTTTTAATTTTTAAGCATAAAGATAAATAGAAAAGGGAAACTAAAGAAAAATAAATTTTGAAATACTGTCAGATAAAGAAATTTTACTGCATTTGCTTAAAACTGTTATAAACAGCAAGTCGTTTTACCTAAACTTCTAAAATTTTGCTTTGAATATATTTTTGTTTCTATAAACTACTCATAGAAAATCATGAGAAAGTTCATAAAGTGAATCATTTGGGAGATAATGATTTTAATGATGTGGAAGAATGAGACAGACCAAGACAGTGTTTCCAGGGGGCCCCAGACCTTATTAACGATCAACAATAGAATAATGAAATCCACTTACAATTATTTTTTAAAGCAGGGATGGGGAAATAAGAAAGAGTAATAGAGGAAGTGAATTTGATCAAAATAAATTATATACATATGTATGTATGGAAATATCACAATGAAACCCTTCGTATAATTAATATACACTCATGAAAAAAAAAATCTCACAGCTATTTAACTGAAGACCTTAAAATTAAATACAGAGCAACTAGCAACTAGGTCTGCAATAATATTTGTGCTCTATGCACACTGATATGTAAACATAAAGCAACTGTGGAATTGTTAGTATTAAAAGCCTTAAAAAAATCACATTCTGATAAAATCAAAAAAAAGCATAGGGAAGATTAAAAAAAAGAGAGCACTACCACTATTACCCATGAAAATGATAATGGTGTTAGTGACACTAAAACACATACACGAGGGCAGTTTCTATAAAACCATAAGAACAGAGACATAAAAGGAAAGTCAATTAAAATGAGGAGACCTGAGTTCTGGCAGCATTGGCAAATGGCCCCGATGGGTCACTTTGTTACTATAGCAACTGTTTCTTATTCACAAAATGAATGGGCTGGGTAAGATTTCCTCTGCCACCCCCTCTACCCTGTCTATATCCAAAGTAAAAGCTTTGAATGTTGAAAACAAAACTCTCTTAGTGATGGTTCTATTGGAAAGACATGTTAGCAACAAAGTCTAGTCTACAAAGCAAGGAACGTGGCTTAAAATATCCTTAAAACTAGGTATTTGATTCCTTCTCAAAAGGGCTAAAGAAAACATCCTAAGAAATACAGGATAAGAAGGCAGTCTTTAAAAAGTATATTAATATTTTATAATACCTGGTATCCATTCTTCCTTGTATACCTTCATATATCTTTTACTGTATCTTTCAATATCTAGAAAAAAAAATAAAGCATTCATTAGAAATGTGAATAATAAATAGGAACTTAAGCCATTCTTTTAAAATAAACACCAGATAACATCTCTTATTTCAGATACAGGGCATCTCCTACATTTGCACATAAGGTGTTCCTAAACAAATATTGAGAAAGTCAATGTGAATGACATGTTGAAGAAAGCAACAGCAGCTGGGTTTGATAGGCTAGGGATGAGCAGAGACTCCACCTTAATTGTGGGTCTTACAATCTGACATCCTGTGAGAATATTCACAAAAGTCCACAGTCAGATCAAGAAGTCACTTGTATCCAAGGGCAGGGAGGTATACTCAGCATTTTCTGTTTTATTCTTGTGATACTGACCTCCAACTCCTAATCTTTAAACCTGGTGTAACCAGGATACAAGTGGGAATGGAGGGCTTTTGCTCAACGCCAGCACTCCTCAGTGAGCAACTGTCCACAACCCACTCAGAAGAGAATGAGGAAAGAGGAGGAGGAGAAAGGCCAGACATGGTAAAGGGTTACTTGTCTTGGGCATAAATGAGCAAGCTGCAAGCCTTCTATGCCAATTACTGAAAACTGCAAACTCTGAGCTTGACAAAACCCGGAGAGCCACAATTGTGACTTTTAATTCTGACTTGTCCACCTCACCACAGAAAATACCTTCAATGATGGCCCTGACTTCTTTCCTAAACAGCACAAGTTGCCAAACAATGTCACACCATATCTTTAAAGCATGGCCATTATAAAAATAAAACAAACAGTAGAACAAATGGCAAGAATAAAACTATTGGGAATTTCACTAAGAAATTAGGAATAGCAAGTCAAAATTTATATAGTTCATCTTTTACTGGTTTTGAAGGCAAAACCCAAAATGGGGTCCTTTGAATGAAAGTGACTATGCATCAGCTTTATATACAAACCTCAAAAACACATGTAGTATATCCTGAGTCTAGATTTCAAATATGTATTTAATGAGTTCTAACTTACTATTTGTGGATTTTTCTCACACTTGTAACACCTAAATGATTCAAGATTACAATTTCATTTCTAACAGATTCTGCTTTACCTGTAATTCCAACTCTTCTTATCTTTTCATAATGAAAATACAACACTTTAAAAATCTTTGATGAGACTGGGGAGGTATGTGAGAGGTAGAATGTCTAGCATGCACAGACCCTGACTTCCATTCTCAGCACCACAGAAAGGAAACACTAAATAAACACAATAAAAAAAACTTTGATGGCTGATGGCCCAGCCATCTTCTTTGCTCTGTACTTGCAAAACATTTTCATTACTAAAATTATGACCACCGATAAACATGATCAATCCAATACATTGTTTCATTTCTGCATAATCTATTTCCTTTCAATCATCTTTGTCTTTGGATTTGCCTCCAGCATTTGTAAATGTATAAACCACATAAATTTTGATGCACAAATATCACAAAAGAAGAAAAATACAATCATGTCATTTTACCAAATTGGATATTTCAGGTTCATATTACAAAATATTATGTGATATAATCCTTTTGAAAGATTAACTATGAGAATACCATATTTTCTTTTTAATACTTAAGAGATATACTATTTATTCATCAATTCTTGTATTTGAGAAGATTCACCTAGGATATTTTTATATGAAGACTCAGAGGTTTTGCTTATACAATTTCCTCATCATCATTAACATCCATAGAGTTGATATCTCTTTGCATTCACCTTTGGTTTGTATAAGAACTGTGCAACATCTTCCTCTTATAAATTTTCTTTTCTTTGCCATTATGGGGAGCAAATGAAAACTTGAATTCTCAATTGTAGTCAGTGAAAACTAAAATAAGGCAAAACTACAAAAGTGAGGGTTTCTGCAGCTTCTTTTATACCTTCTTAAAAATTGATATAATACTTTGCACAACACAGTAACTAAAAGATGATATAATAATGATGATTTGTTTCAATATTGCACCATCCTGTGCAATTTTATCATCATTTTTTTGGTATCGTAGTCTTTCTTCAGCATAATGGGGAGCATCTTTTGAAAAATGATGAAATTATTACTATGATGAAATAGCAAGGTATTCCAAGATGTAGGAAAAATAAGATCACTCAGATTCCATAATATAGTTTAAATTCATAAAAAGATCCAATGAACTGATATGGTATGCAAAGAGTAAATGAGGTTGTTACAAGTATACTTCTCTATGCTCTTTGGAAGATCTCTGAGAGAATAAAAGTTACGAATACCAGTCATTGCAATAGTAGGAACTGCTCCAAAAAAAACCTCAAAATTTAAAACTGGTTCTCATGGGTTCTGACAGTATACAGCGAGAATTAGTAAGCCAAACCCACTTACTCAATGACAGACATTGTAGCCATATTATAGGTAACTTTTTAACTTCTATTAAGCTTTGGAAGTTCTGAAAATGGCTTATGATCCTGTCCTCTACCACTGAAGACTCTGTGATTCTGAGCCCCAGCTGGGAACCACTAGGCCAGAAGATCTCTGTACCCTTATGACTAAAATGCATTAAAATAATATTCACTGGTGTTTTCTCTTTATTATAAAAATAATAAATTTAATTGCAAGGAAAATACTAATCACTTCTATAATTCCACCTGAAGCCAGAAATACACTCTGAAGATAACCAGACATGAACAATGTCTATTCTGTGCCCTCAATTCTTTATGACAAATTTCAATGCCCTGAGCCACCAAGAAGTACTGAACTGCCCCACCCTAATTGTCCTAGTCTCTAGTAATCTAGCTCTTTACATTAGTCCCTAAGTCTGTCTTTCCTAAAGCTTACAGATGGTGAGTGATAGAAGACTGGCAAGGGTGCAATCATATAACAATCTAATTATAGTTCCTTCAGATAGTTGGGTACTTCTGTTCAGTCCAGCCAATTGTTTTTTTTTTTTCAGCCAATTGTTTTTGATTCACAGTACACACAGTATGCAAACATTATGTATATGTGTGTGTGTGTATATATATCTATATATACATAATGTATGTATGTATACAGTAGTCCCCCTTTTTCCATATTTTGCTTTCTATGGTTTCAGTTATTGGCATTCAACCCATTCTTATATTACATGGAAAACCCCACAAATAACAATTCATGTTTCAAACTGTACACTGCTCTGAGCAGAATGACGAAATCTCAGTCTAGCTCCATTCCACCCAAGACATGATTCATCCTCTTTGTCCAGAGTACCCATGTTGTATATGCTACCAACCTGTTAAATCATTTAGTAGCCATCTCAGTTATCAATTAACTGTGGTATCACAGTGCTTCTTTATAGGATTAGGTACTATTTGTGTCCTAATAGGATATGTGGAACATATCCCTGTGGATAAGAGGGGACTACTCTGTGTGTGTGTATGTTTATTTTGAACCCCAGTATTTTTTATTCACTCTACATCAGGAAAGAGAAGCAAGTGTGAAGATTTCAAGAGACTGAATCCTACCACTTTGGAAAATTCTATACAAAAGTTTTATCCTGAAAGACAAAAGAAAATGATCCTGAATATTTTAATGCTTTATTGCACAGTTATTAAGGATAAAGTTCCCCCCTGACTCAGGTTCAAGCCAACCACTCCCATAAACCAATAACACATGTTCTTATCCTATATGCTTGAATAATTTTATACACTTTTAAATCAGACAGGCCCTTTAATAACCATATGTCCCAGGATCTAGAGAAAACTACTTTTCAAAGGATTAAAGTATACCCTGCACTATTACTTTTCTAACAAGAATGAGATTTATTAGTTCATTTGGTCATACTTTTTAAAATTTATACAATGAGAACTTTAATTTCATTTTTATTTTGGGGGGCGGTAGTGGGGATTGAACTCAGGGCCTCATATATGCTAGACATATGGCCTACCACTTAAGCCACACCCCCTAGTCCTTTTTTGCTTTAGGTTTTTTGAATAGGGTCTCATGGTTTTGGGCACATACTACATGACCAGATTTATTGGTTGAGATGGTGGGGAGGGGGGTAGGTCTTACTAATTTTTTGCCCAAGATGGCCTCAGACTGCAATTCTCCTGTCTTCCAAATAGCTCGGATTATAGGCATGAGATACTGCATAAGCCTTTAATTTCATTTTTAAACCCAGACAAACATGTAACATAATCACAAAAGTAAAAAAATTCAGCACTGCTGAAGAGAAACCATTATTCAAGCAGATATGCCTTGAAAGGTACATGAACTTGTCTAACATGCTTCTAATAAACAAATGTAAGATCACTATATAAAAATTTCTTTTTTGACTTTTAGCCAATTTTAAGTCTTTCAGAGAGGAAGAATGGAATGCATTTTCAATACTAATGGAATGAGATGATGCTATATGAATTTCTCATGTTTTAGTGATGAGTTTTGAGAACTCAAGATATTGATCTCTCTAATTTCAACAATCAAGGGCAGAAACTGAAAATCAATATGGTTCTGTGCTAAATGACTACTCAGGCGTGAGTTCACTTCCTCTAAACCCACTTCCCACTCCAGTATGAGAGAGCTGAGCCTTCTCTAACAGTAATTTCTCCTCTTTGCCCTTTGCATCAGCAATGAATACATATTTCAAATTTTCTATCATAGCAGATACATAAACAATAAACCAAAAATCAAGGCTCTTAAAAATTTTAACTTAAATATTAAATAACCAGACACATGCATTAAAAACTGCGTGATGACAGTAATCACAGCATGTTATGTGTGGGCAAAAAACTGGAGACAACCTTGAATTCAATAGCAGGGAATTAGCTATAATTAATAATGCTGTGTCCATAAAATGGAACAACACAGCCATTGAAACTTGTATTTTCCAAGAATAATAAGGGTATGTGAAAAGGTTAATGTATTATTGAGTCAAAAGAAGACACAAACTAATATAAATCTAATTTTGTAAAGAGAAACACACAGAAGAAAAAACCTAGAATATACAATAATACATTAATAGTTATTCTCTAGACATAGACATTGGTCATTTCACCTATTCAGTTTTTCTGGGTTTGGACTGGCAGAGTGGCTCAAGTGGTAGAACACTTGCTTAGCAAGTGTGACGCCCTGAATTCAATCCCCAATACCGCAAAAAAAAAAAAAAATTTCTGGCTTTCATAATTTACACTACATATAGCCAACTTCTACCACAAAAAAATGTCTTTATTTATTTCATTTTTTTATGGTTTTATGATCTTTTTTATTGTTGTGCTGGGTGGAGGTACACTGTGGCATTTACAAAAGTTCTTACAACGTATCAAATATATCACACTTGAATTCTCCCACTCCACCATTCTCCTTTATCCCCGCTCTCCCCATTCCTGGAATAATTTCAACAGGTAACAGTTTTCCATTTACATACATGTGCACACAGCATTTGCACCATATTCACCCTCACACACCCTTTCCCAAAAGATGTTTTTAAATATAAAATAGTTTTCTATCAAATTAACCATAAGTGTATTTTCCCCAAAGTGGATGCCAATCTCTGAATTAAATGAATCAGCATTAAATGATCACATATTTTGTACTTAAAAATTGTTTAATCTATGGATATTCAACCACAGCCCAGTATGTACCTTGCTTTTCTTCAGGTGTTTCAATAAAGTAAGGCATTCTCTTCACTGTTTCTCTCAATTCCTGTTTCAAGGCTAGCATATAATCTTCATCTTCTCCTGTTTTCAGGGGCACTGGCTTATAATCTATATCCTGTTTAAATTAAAAGACAAAGGTTATCTTAACAATTAGTTTAATATCCTTTTAGTCTATTTTCTGAAAAATGTAAGTTTAATTGAAAAACTATGTTTTACAAGTACTAAATTTTATGACTGACCAAAAGATGTTAAGTCTGTAATCTATTTAACTTTTTAACCATTTCTTACTTTGCATAATTTTTTAACCTAAAAACAACACTAACAATCATTTTGCTATATAATCATATTTGTCTGTTAACTAATATGAGTCCCTGTTTTAGAAATCAAGGTACCCAATGACAGCAAATGCTTTAGTTCCTGCTAATCTCAGCTAATGTTACTGGTAGAAACGGGAGCATAAAAATAAATAAATAAATATTAGCAGCTATCATTTAGCAAGTGGTTACTATGACCAGGATCAACTCAACATTCAATATCCACTGTGTCCTTTGAAGTATTATCAGTATTTCCTCCTTTTAAAGTGAAGAAAGTGAGAAGAGATTGTAAGTCCATATGATGAATAAATGGGAAAACAGGAGTTTGAAGCTGCATTTCAATTTTTAAAACTTCTGCACATACACATGTATATGTGTGTGTATATAACTGTACACATAGTCATTTAAAAATGGGTTTCCAAGGGCTGGCAGAGTGGCTTAAGTGGTGGAGCGTCTGAGTAACAAATATGAGACCCTGAGTTCAGAACCTAGCACTGTCTAAAAATAAATAAGTAAATAAAATTCTAAAAACAAAAAAAGTGGGTTTCCAGCATGAGGTAAAGACATTTCTGGGTTCAGATGACAAAGACAGTATGTTTCCAAGCTATGATTTCAACTGTATTCAGTCATTCTACAACTATTTATTGAGGACTTATGACAAGCTAGACATTATTACACAAAAGGAGCCACTGTGTTGAAATAGTCAAAGCCCTGACAACACGGAAGTTACATTCTAGAGAAGAACCCACAAGAAATAAGTAAAACATTTCAGGTAGTGATAAGTGACATAAGAAATGAAAGAGCACAGAGGAAAGGTGACTAACAGGAGTGCATGGAGATTGGAAGTAGCTAATCTATACAGGGTAAGCATGCATGGCCTCTTGGAAGTCTGTACAAAATCAAGCAGCCATCCATGTAAAGATAGGAGAACTGACAGTCACAGATAGGGAACCAGCAGGGCCAAAAGCCTAAGAGAACAAGCAGCCAGCATAGCTTGGGAGTGAAAAAGATGTTTGTAAAAATGGGCAGAGACATGAGGACGGCCAGAGTGAGGATTTTTCTTTTAAATCCAAGTATAAAACAACATCATGTACTAACATTCCTGCTGTTTGAGAAGTAATTCCACACGTGGAGAAGAGCTTATTTTGAAAGAACATAAGGAGACTTTGTGCCATCTGCGCTATTTGTCTTTATTTTTAAAGTGTAGTTGGTATCAAAAAGGCAAAACATCAAGAGGAAAAAGCAGAAACACCTTGTGGGAGCAGCCAGATCCCAGATACATTTATCCAGAGCCCTCTACTGGCATAACTCCTTCAACAAAGGACTTTCCATTTGAAACAGAGAAAAGATTCATGAAGGGAAGAGTATCTGGTTAAACTTCTATGCCATAGCACATCTGAGAATACGCTTTCAAATTTCTTTCTTTTTTTTTGGTGGTACTGGGGCTTGAACTCAGGGCCTTCACCTTGAGCCACTCTACCAGTCCTATTTTTGTGAAGTGTTTTTGAGATAGGGTCTTGCAAACTATTTGCCCAGGCTGGCTTCAAACCATGATCCTCCTGATCTCTGCCTCCTGAGTAGCTAGGACTACAGGTATGAGTTACCATTACCTGGCACAAGTGTACATTTCAAATTAAATATAAAGCAGCAAAAATATTAGACTTTACATCAGTTAAGCTTGCAGCATATTCACAGAATTTAAAAGCAACACTTAAAGCAGTGGAACTATTTATATTTTGAGAAACTAAAAAATTCAAAATGGCTTTGATAAAATAGGGAAATAGAAACAAGAAAAACTTCAGTGGGAAAAAAAGGCCAAGTGGTAAACTAAGGAGCAAAATTATATTCTATAGATATAAGATGTGAAGAAAACCATTAGGTGAAATCATGGCAGCATGAGAACCAGTGTAAAAACCTGACTTTTTGCTTTTTTTATATTTTTACAAAATATTACTTTGGTAATTATAATGTATTAATAACAGCAATAGAAGATGCAACCACATTAAGTAATATTTTCTTAGTTTACATATTACTTAGTATACTCACAGAAAATTGTGTATAGGTTTGTTTTCTGTATTTTAAGAAAGCTGTCTGAAAATTAGAAAAGGTTCCGGGACAGACAACTAAAATCTTTAAATTAAAGGCAACACATTTTACTTTCTTATACTTGAGGATATCATAATCATATTATATATTCAAGCCCTATTCAAAATTTTAATGCTCTCTGAAACATGAAATAAATACACTGCGAGAATGCAGCTGCCAGTGTACTTACAGGAAATAGTGGGGGTGGTTTCAAAACTACATCAGGTAATTTTTCACCTCTGCTAAATCCAACAGCCTCAATATTAAAGGTATAGGCAGCACGTCCTCTTCCTTTATTCCCAGCCATCAGAACTAGTTATAGCAGAAAATTAAGTGGATGCTAAAAGACACAATTAATGTTAAGACTTACTGAATCATATATAAAAGGAAACCAACATTTTAAAGCAAAATGTAAAACTTTATTCCTTAAATAGAGCTGATTTAAGGTACTTTTTGAAAGCACATGTGAAAAAAAAAAACACATGACTACTGATGGTTTAACTGCTCAGGTCCACCATGTTTGGCAGGTAAGATGATGAAGGCCTTAGCTCTCTCAGCCCCGGAGAGAGGGCTGACCCTTCACGATGCTGCTCCAACAGCTACACAGCCAACTGCTGCAATTCTCTCCAGTTCCTGGTTTGACAACAGGGTGTACGTAAAATGCATGGAGAAGAAACGGCTGGGGACATTAAGGAAAATCATGGTACAGTGGAAACTACTGTAAAAACCTGACTTTTTAAAATATTACCTTGGTAACTGGAACACATTAATAATAGCAATAGAAGATGCAAGAATTTAAAATAATTCTTTCTTGATTTATACAATACTAAATATATTCACAGAAAAGGTATATATAGTTTTGTTCTCTGTATTTTAAAAAAGCAGTCTGAAATTAGGGTTCAGGGGAAGATAAAGGAAAAGGAAAGGACATTTTGCTTGTATCATATCAACTTAAACATCATAGTTAGTTACAGTGCTATAATTACAGTTAGTTATAGGTAGTTACACATACTTTAAAACTAGAATTTGGATGTTAGAAAGATTTCTTATAAGCTAATCCAACATTCTTCCCTAGATATAGGAATGGGATCAGTAAAATTCTAAGAGTTCTATGTTAGTCAGACTTTCATCACTATGACAAAATTCCTGACAAAAAAGCAACTTAAGGAAGGAGTGACTTATTTTATCTCACAGTTTCCAAGGTTTCCATCTATCATGGTAAGCAGGACATGGTGGAACAGAGCAGCTCACATCATGGTGATCAGGAAACAGAGAGAGAGAGAGAAACAGAGAAAGAAAGAGAGAAAGGAGCTGGCAACAAGATACAGCCCTCAAGAATATGTAACCAGTCACCTATTTCCTCCAGGTAGGATGCCCCCTCCTAAAGTTTCCAGAACCTCCCAAAATAGGACCACCAATTGGGGACTAAGCCCTCAACTCACATGCCTGTGGGGATAGTTCATGTTCAAACCATAACAGAGTCTAGCCAAGAAAAAAAAAAAAAAGTTGAGAAAACACTGAAGATTAAAGCTAAGGTAAACCTGCACTCTCAACTTTGGGGGCAATAGTGATACACACTCAACTCTGGTACTGAGCTTCTGAAGTGCCGGAGGCTCAGCTGATTGTACCGGAGCTCTCAGGCAGTAGAGCATTTACAGGCCTCTTCAATGCAATGATTTAACTAGAGAGATGATTAAAATGCACATTCTTTATACCTTTTCTCCCACTGATAAAATTGAGTAGCATTTAACCCTGTGAGCCCAGGAAAGCAGTGTTGTGTCCTCTGGACCACTGAAGACGAGTTTGCTTTGATTTCTGCCTGTTTAGCTCGGTATTATTTCTCGTCTAGTCACTTGACCTCTATTCGAGATCACACAAACCAACAGTATTTCACTTCCTGCCAGGACAAAAACACCATTAAATTCACCTCAGTAATGGTTAAGATCAACAAGGGGTTACTTCTTTTTTTTTTTTTTCCTATCTACAATTTGAATGCCCAGGTCTAAAGGTCTAAAAAGGTCCAAGTTTATTTTATCACAGGACCAACACTCAAAGCAAGCAGTTCTCAATCCTGGCTGCCATCCGGACATTAAAATCACTGAATTGAATCACTCACTCAATCAAGATCTCATGAGGTAAGGACTGGGCAAGAGTAACGTGAAAAGCTTTCCAGTTGATTCTAACACAGCGAGTGTTGAGAATATCAGAATTGCTCAGGGACAAGTCTTATGTAGGTAAGGAGTAGCTTAGTTACACCTGTATAATACACCTGTATAATCAGAGGTTCCAACTTTCAAGTTTGAAATTACACAAATTATCCTCAGTGATTAAAAACAATTGCCCTAATGGTGAAATGACTGTAACTGCTTATAAATCTAAGTAGCATTCAGCCTGTAACAGTCCCACTTTTAATTTACTTAACTATTATTTAATTTAATAGCAGTACCAAGCCATTGCACTTTAAAAAAATTTTTTATTAACATACTGGGGGTACCTTATGACGTTTACAAGCGCTTACAATACATCTTAATTAAATTCACCCCCTCCATCATTTTCTTTGTCCTCCTTCCTCCCATTCTTAGACGTTTGAACAGGTTTCATTTTTCCATTTTCATACATAAGTACATAATAAAAGGAGATAAACTTTTTTTTTTTTTTTTTTGTGGTACTAGGGTTTGAATTCAGGGCCTCACCCTTGCTAGGCAAGTGCTCTACCACTAGAGCCACTATGCCAACCCTGGCATTGCATTTTTAAAGTCCAATGATTTGCAATTTTAATGTTGTTGTACAATTAAGGTTTCAGTTACACACAGACAAAATAAAATCACAACTTCAGTATCTTCCCATGATGAAATAGTTTCCTCTTTTCCACAGATTACTCAAGCACCATGGCACTTGACTTGACATAATGGCCACAATACTAAGAACATGTTCAGATATAATTTTACATTACACGTTTTGTAAACTCATCCTTAATGCCGTCATATTTGAAAGCTTTCTCACATAAATGGTCAAACATTAAATGACTTTATTATCTTTGTTGCTGTCATTACAAAGCATAACTCCATGCCTATGCTACTTACCTATATATAAGTAGGGAGAACAGTAATAAACTTCCATCTACTCACCACTCAGCTTCAACAATTATCAATTATATTGATAATTACTCTTACTTTATATTCTTCCATTCTCACAACTCAGATTACTTTGAACTTTTCGTTATGTATCTCTTTTGAGATTAAAGGCTTTTCAAAACATAGCATCATCACATCTATGATTTTTACAATTATCCCTTATTATCGCTTACATATAATTAGTATTCAAATTTCCTCAGTTATCACAAAAATGTTTTTAGTTTGCTCAAGTCAAGTTACAAAGAATCCACACGACTTTTGATTGACATGCCCTTTAAACTTCCTTCTAAACTATAATAGTTCCCACGCCCTTTTTTTCTCCTCTTACTACCTATATGTGGAAGAAACTCCATAACACTTCTTAAACTTTAAGGTACAAGCAAATTGCTTAGAAGTATTGTTAAAGTGCAGATTCTGATTCAGATGACCCTGAGTAGGGCCTGTAGTTGCATTCAACCAAACTCTCCCAGAGGTATCAATGCTACTAGATCTGTAGACCACAATTTCAAAGTGGCAACAATTTCCTATATTCTGAGTTCAAAAGACTGCATAGCTAAGAAGTAAGATTTAACATATATCCTCTATTCACTGTATTCCCAATAAACAAGGAGACAGACTAGAGTCTTACTCAGATTTATGTTTGATTTGTTTTCTTTTCTTTCTTGAGGGGCAAGAATAATTAAAAGAAATACTCTGCTTTTCCTACTGCATCACATCAAAATCCACAAGTCTCTCTCATAGTGATGACCAGGCTAGCTAGTGAGTCAGGTACTATTGGTCTGATGCTCATCGGTTTTCAGCTAGTAACAACAGCCACTGATAATCATTGCCTAGATCTACTCTTCCATTATGGATTGCAAGATGATGAAGTACAATTTTGCTTGTGTGTGGTACTGGAGAATTGAACAATACACAAATTTTACCATTTGTTCTGTCTATCAACTGGAATTCAACCAATGATTAATTTCCTTCATCCACTATTTACCATGGATGAAGCTCATACAGGAAACCCACTTTAATAACCAAGATAATTCCATCTGTCCACATTAAAAGAGAAGGGAAAGATCCAACTGGCCTTGTTTCCGTTGCTGAGTCTCTAAAAAAAACACAGATGCTGAGCCTACAGAAATCAGTTTTTCTAAGTATGAAAACTGCTGAGCAGACAGGCTCACATCTTCACTCTAAGAAAGAGCTGCAAGAGCATAAAAGGAGTGGTCGAGGCCTCTGGGCTGCACTCCAATCTAGTATTTGCCATTAATTAAAGATTAAGAACAAGTCCAGGTAAAGTTTACCAAACTTGTCTGATCATGGTTATTAACTAAGGACTTAGAAAGCATGCTGAGTCCTAAGGGATCCTTGAATTCTTAAACCTACTATATCGGAATCTTTGTAGGTGAGCCCTGGAAATGGTTTGGAAAACTCACTCTAAAAATGAGGTCAGCTATCACTGCTTGATGGAACTGCCCTAAGAAATATCAAACTCTGTTGACTCTAACTTTGCATTTTTATCAAGCAATCAGGCTATATAAATTGACATCATTAGTGATGCATTATCATTGGCAGAAAACCCAATCCTAGCTCTTGAGATGCTCTTATTAATTATACAGTATTCTGGCCTATGGACCCATCTCCTTTAAATTTGGTTATCATGAGTCATTGCTCCTGTACTCACAGTAGGTGATTAATTCATTTTCTTCCCTTGCAGAGGTGAGAGGCATTCCCCAGACTCCTAAATGCATCATGGAAGAAATGAAATCTTTTTGATGATTTATCCACTGCCTTGTTCCTTTTCTTCACCTTGCCAAACTTCTTGAATGGTTTTTACCAGCTTTCTGTATTTCCTCATTATCCAAATCTTCTATTTCAAATGGCCCAACTTAACTGACTCATCCACTCAGCCAGTATTGAGTATTCCAGGCACTGAGCATTGAACGGAAAGCATCGAACAAATCAAACACTTAATTCTTGCTTCAAAATGTTCCTTCCTTTGTAATTTCTCTACCATAAGTCCTGTTCAGCCCTTTGCCACCTGACTTCTCACAGCAAACATTGCAGTATCCCTGTTCATTTTAACTGATTCATCCACACTACTCATCCTAAAGCACAGCTTTGATTATGCTATTCAGCTGTTCTTCCCTCTTGGCTGGTGAATTAAATCCAAAGTCTCCATCTAGGTATTAAGGGCCCTTTTAGGATGGGTGCAACCTATCCTCCTGACTGTCTAGTCTCTATAGTCACGTCTTGACTAGCAGTCTCTGCACTTCAGCCTGCTCCCCATTCCTCCCTATATGGCTATGTCCCTTCATCTTGAGATCAAACTTCAGTGCCTCAGCATCCACAACAGTCATTTCTCCCCATCTTGCTCTCAGAAAGGTCCTCCACAAATAAATGGATTTGGTTTTCAATTGAGGTAATGTATATTGCCACACTCTCAATTCTAGAAGGAATATAATCTACCATTTGGGATGTTTCACTTATGTATTTTGTTTGCTGGTTTCTTCAACTGTATTGACAGTGGAGATTTTATATTCCTTGTTACTTAGCATAGTGCTAGCATACAGAAACTGCTCCACAATTAATGTTAAGCATTCCCTAGTTATTATTTTTGTACTATAATTTGATAAGCAGATCTATTCAAAGAGGAACAATTCAGTTACTCTACTGAACTGTCAAGGTTATTTTTGTTTATTCTTTTTTAACTTCTTGAACTATAAAATTTAAAAAACAAAATAAGCAAACAACCCCCCACCACACACACACATACACAGGTTATACTCCAGAACAATAAAACCAAAATTCTACAGACAGGATTTAGATATCAGTAATTTTTAAGCACTCTAGGATATTAAAAGGTGTAAGTTAAATTAAGAACCAAGGCAAGTTAAATCTCCCATTTTACAGAAGAGGAAAGTGAAGCCCCGAGAGGTTAGCTGACAACCTAAGAACACAAGATTAATTCCTATCAAAGGCAGGGATGGCTTAAGACCTTAGGAAACCTTTCCATTGTCCTTTCATCTATCGCCTGGCTTCCTGAAGCACATGTCTAGGCTAGTTGAGGGCCTTTTTAACCCCAGAGATGTCTTTAATCAACAAAGTAAATTAGTAACTGCAAAAATCTTAAAGCCGTAAAATCAGCAGCACTGACCCTCTACTTCAGGTTGCCTCATGAAAATTCCTTTTCCGAATTTGTTCTGAGGGGTTTGAAAATGGAAGTAGTTAAAGCATCCAAGAGCTGAAATACAAACTGTTTTAACCTACTCTAAAAACAACCTTTTGGCAGGGGCTAAGTTAATCTCTGAAATTCCTCTTAGCTCTAAAATTTATGAGTTATGGTCGTGACTTAAATATAATGTCCTCCATATTTTACACAGTTCCTAGTTGGATGGATAAACATAGAGACAGATGGAAGCTAGGGGAGGCAGTGAAAAACAGGTCACAGGACCTTTCCAGTCAGAATCTGATAGTCATTCTGCTCTGGCTGTCTCCTTTCATCCACTCATCTAACAGCAGAGGACTATTAGCTGTGTGTTCTCACTCGTTATTCCCTTCCTTCGCCTCTGCTTTCTTTAGTTTGGGACCTCAGCATCTCTCATCTGGACAGCTAAAATAGAAAAAACAGATTTCCCATGGCCAGGCTCCCCTTTTCAACCTACTCTCTAGTCACCTTTATAGGATCCAAGTCTTGACATGCCACTCTGCTCGGTTAACAGAGCTTTGGTGTCTAACTTTCTGCTTCTCACCACAAGCATCACACACTAGCTGTGCTGGGCTCTTATATACAGTGTTCCTTCTGCCTGGAGTACCCTTGCTACCACACCCACAGGAACAGGCCCTAGTATTTTAAAAAATGCCATGAAAACAACACTTGCTTTATGACTATTTCCTCTATAATATTTCTCCCTTCTCAGTGTTTCCCAAGTTGGGAAACTGATTTTATGACCCTCTTTACAATCATAATCATCAGATTTTGTCTGTTTCCCCTGAGAGAATCTTCCTTCATCAAGTCTTTATTAAGTACCCTCTGTGTCAGGCCATTTTCTATGTACTGGGAATACAGTAGTGAACAAAATAAAATCTCGGCTTTTATGGACATCATAGTCTAGTATGAGAAATGGGAAAAATACAAAATGTCAGGGAGTGATAGGTGATAAGAAGAAAAGCAAAGCAGCCAGGCACCAGTGGCTCCCACATGTAACCCTAGCCACTCTAGAGATCAGGAGGATCAGGGTTCAAAGCCCAGCAAGTGTGAGGCTCTGAGCTCAAACCCCAGTACCACAAAAAAAAAAAAAAGAAAGAAAGAAAGCAGGACACATGGATGCTATAATGGAAAGGGTAACTGAAGAAGTCCTATCTTATTCAGTAATATTTGATCATAAACCTGACAAAAATGAGGGAAAGAGCCATGAAAAGGAGAAAAGGATATCCAGGAGGAAATGAGGTACAGGCAGAGGAATCTAAGTATGAAGGTCTCCTTGGAGATTTATTTACCAAAGCTGGCAAAAGTTCAATCATTATGAGGTAAATTATTGTTGAGTTCATGGTCTAGTGAGGATATCACTCCATTTCACCTGGTGGTTCTGTTTTACCTCATGGAAAAATACCCAAACAACAGAGAGCATTGTATTTCTCTGCCGAATACCCTAAAAGCCTTCTTAAAAGGCCAGTGCAAATGCCACTGCTGAACAATCCCTTCCACATTAGGGCACCTAGTTTTTATATCCTCTGTGGTACAAATCCCATATTGCCATTACTGGAAGTACTTGTGTACACATGTTATCTTCCCTCAAAACTAAGAATACAGACCATGACTTTTTTACACAACTATGTTAAGTCATCTCGCTCGGGTATTTGTGCCTAAGGATATTCCCAACTGAGTAACTGGATGACCTCTGTGTAGATTAGCACAATATTCCAGACAGGTGGCATCTCCACCAACAGGCTTTAGGTGTGTAGGGAAGAACACCTCTCCTTCAATGAAGACTTATTAGTTGCCACAGTAAGGGTTTTCGTAATTATCTTTTACATGTTATCTCATGGGCGTCTTTATAATTTTTCCTGGATAAGTAGGGAGATTAGTTCTCAAGAGAACTTTTAAATCCTAAATAGATGCATGGAAGTGGAAAGAGAAGACAGGGACTCAATGTTAACACTGAGAGTGATTTATGTGGCAGGCGAGGCCACACCCAGTCATTAACCACTTTTCCCCGTCCTCACAAAGTGCTCTACCTTTTTTTAGTTAGGCTACTCTACTAACTTTCTTTACTCTCTTCCAAGAACGGACAAAGAACCAACCCCAAAATAAAGGGGATACACAATTTCATTTTCTGAGGAAATAAACCATATTAACAATCTCCCCTCCCCATGATACAGAGTACAGTGCCAACAACTAAGAAAACAGACACCCAATAGTCTGCCCTTAGCTGCAATCTGCCGAAACAAACCATATAGTCACCATCTGGAGTCAACTATCACTGAGCATCAATTCCCTTCTAACTCACTGCATACAGTTCCAGGAAGAGGAGACTATGTACAATATGGAATGGACGACTTTAAAAAGATTTTGAAAGGATCAGGAGAAGCGAAGGTAAAGCTATCTCCCAATGCCTCTCACTTGAGAGGTTCTTTAATCCATTTTTGCCCCAGATTCTCCAGCTCCGCACCTTTTCCACGTGCCCCTAGAACTCCCCAACACCCTCTCCACCCTTTCCCAAGTCCTCCGTAACTTCCTCTGTTACCTGCTAACTCTCTTGGTTTGTGCAAAACTGCAGCCGAAGTGCCGGCCGGCAAGGAAGGGGTGCCGGCAGCCGGCGCCTGCGCTCGGGTTCCGCGGATTCCACCTCGGGAGAAGCGCGCCCAGCCCTCCACGCGGCCCCCGCGCGCAGCCGGAGCCCTACTGGGTAGCCCCGCCCACCCTCCATCTAGGCCCCACCCCCACAGGGCTTTTTAGCCCTTGGCAGGCCCCGTAGTTATCAGCTAACTGGCTTGGCCCGACTCTTTCTGCGCCGGCTGGGATTGCGCATCGCCGCCAGCCGGTGGGGAGGAGGACGACTTGGCGCTTCTCGCGCATCGCTTAGGGTCTCTGCAGTCAGACCCCGGGAGTGAGCAAAGTGTCGCTCCTGCGTCTCCAGACTGCTGCAGTGCCCTCTGCGTTAACGCTTCCCGAGCGCGGCAGCAGAGGCTGCGGCAGCTCCTGCGTCCTGCTCCTGGCAGCGCAGCCTTGGCCCTCTGCGGACCTGGCGGGAGGGTGCGGGAGCTGAAGCCCTGGGCAGAGTCTGCGCGCGTCCTGCCTGCTGTTCCCTCCCCCGCACCCCGCCCCCTCTCTCCGCGCCTCCTCCCTGGCTGCGGGCAGAGCACTTCGCACTGTCGCAGCGCCAGGCGTCTGGACAGCCTGTAGGAGGCACACGCGCCCACACCCACCCTGCCCAGCCGTACCCCTGTCCAGCATGTCGGCGCTCGAGTGGTACGCCCACAAGTCGCTGGGCGATGGCATCTTCTGGATTCAAGAACGTTTCTACGAATCGAGCAACCGCGCTAACATCTGGCTGGTGCGCGGCTCCGAGCAGGACGTGGTGATTGACACCGGCCTGGGGCTGCGCAGCCTCCCGGAGTACCTATACTCCTCCGGCCTCTTGCAGGACTGCGGAGCCAAAGAAGATGCGGCGCGGAGACCGCTGCTGGCCGTGGCCACCCACGTGCATTTCGACCATTCCGGCGGGCTCTACCAGTTCGATCAGGTGGCGGTGCATCACGCCGAGGCCGAGGCCCTGGCTCGCGGGGACAACTTTGAAACCGTGACCTGGCTCTCCGACAGTGAGGTGGTGCGGGCGCCCAGCCCTGGCTGGAGGGCCAGGCAGTTCCGCGTGCAAGCGGTGCAGCCCACCCTCATCCTGCAGGATGGTAATGGGCCCCCGCGGGTGCGCGCGCTCTCGTAGGGAGGGGATGGGGAAGAGGCTGTCTGAGTGCTGCATGTTGCAGACCTGCGTGGTCATCGTGGGATTGTTTTGGTACATGGCAGAATCGCTATTTCTGTCTCACCCTTCTCTGAGTAAAGCAAATTCGACCAGAGCCAAAGCCATCGCAGCATTCTCTACCCGGAGACTAGTGTATCGATTCTGATTGAAAGCCCGCACCACCCCCTAAGTCAGTTTCTTGTGTGTGTTACAGTAGTAACACTGCAGAGACTTGTCACTAGGGATTTTCCGTTCTTTTATCCCAGCACCAGTCTGACATTTCCATATGCTTTTGTGGCCAGTCGACTTTTAAAGAATGAGGCCTTAGGAAGAGTTCATGCCGTGCTCTGTGCTTTTGAGAACTGCTGACTTCATCTGCTTAGTCAGGCTCCCCCCCCCCGCCCCCGCCTCCCGCCTCCCGCCTCCCGCCTGTTTCCCATGATCCATTCCCACCTGTAGGCTTGGAAAGCCATCACAGCTGTGATTCCACTCACTCTTTCATCCTTACCCTTTAGATTGGTTTCTTAATATTGCCTCACAAGAGAAAAAGCTTGACAGCATAAAAGCAGAACATATCTACCTTTATGTTCTGACAGCTATGGAGTCTGGGTGAAAGCAAAGCCCAAGAAAGATGAATAAGGAGGTTATTTGCAGTGGAGGTGGAGTATGTGGACGAATGTTATAGATAGCCTGGTCTCCTTTGACTCTGAAGAGTCAATGGGATGAGGTTCAGAGAGAAATTCATAGAATAAAACAGAGTAGGGGCCCAACCCTGTGCTTAAATAAGGAGCTAATTAGCAACAGATGCAATAGTTGATATACTTCTGTTTTCTTTTTAGAATACTTATGATTTTTTTTTTATTCTCATAACATTTCAGTGAGGCCACTGACTCTCAAATGAATGTCTTGCCTGGAATCCACTAAGCAAGATTGTGATAAAAGCTAGGATTTTAACCAAGGTATAAAGCATGCAGAACATACATAAATCCTGCCTGAGTAATATAATTCTGAGTATAATATGAAGGCCCCTCTTTCCTTTCTATCGTAATTATTCTAATTGCCAATTGAATTTATTAGAACAGCCCTCTATAATATAGAAAAAACACAGTTGCTGCAGAGTGAAGCTCACTATAGGACTAAACAATATGGCAATAATGAAATATTTTTTAAAAATTAGCTTATAATACAGATGAAATCTTGATCATTTGTAATATTAAGAAATTACAACTGCCTAGCAAGCATGAGACCTTGAGTTCAAACCCTGGTACTGTCAAAGAAAAGTAAGATTCTATGCCTCACCTCCCCCACCACCAAGTATTTTCATTGAAGTTTTAAATTTAAACATTTAAAAAATATTTTAGATAGTTTTAGAGGTAAGATTTCCAAGCAGTTGGTGGGTATTCAGACTAAATTCTGGCACTCTGATTAAAAAACATTTTGTATTAATATTAAATATGTTTAAATTGTTTGAAAGAAAACATTTTTAATTTATGTACCTTTGATTCCGTGCCAACAATGGGAAACCAAGGGTGAAAGAATGGTAGGGATTACTGTTTTATAGACGCAGAGAAAATCTATGCCTGAATATCATACCTTAGGTCACATAGACCAATTGGAAAGGAACTGGGTCTAAAACCCAGGTTTCCTGAATCCAATTGAAAGTAGAATCCTAGCATCTTTGGAGTTGCAGAAGACCTGCAAGCTACCTGTGTGGTGCTTTATACCTTTGAAGGTGTGAAAAGAAAGCTTAATATTTACCAAACACTTTGAAGGTGCTAGCACTGTGTTATTAAAAGTTGTTTCTCATTAGGAGCTGGATGCCTCACCCTCTCAAGAAGTATCTAATTTCCTCAGTTCTCAGGAACATTAATTTCCTGTCTCTTCTGAATGATGTGGCCTGCTAACTTGCTGTTAATATAATCCAGATGTCTAGAAGGATATATAAAATATTTATGTTAAAAATTCATATACAGTTGTCCTCACACATGTACAGCACATACCCAAAACAGCATAATGCATTTACTGCTTTGGTTCAAACACAAGAAGGCTGAAATCATGTATTATATTCCATTTAATGAATTGGTGATTACCTGTCATGGAGAAGCAGAAATCCCTGCACCATATCTCTAACCCAAAAGCTGACTTTTAAATGAGGGACAAAGAGGACAGGGAGAAAGTAGCTGTGTCATCCAGTGCATTATCTCTGATGGACAAGCAACTCGCCTAATTAATAGTGAAATAGTACGTTCCTATAAGAAGATAGGGATGGATCGGATCTTAGATGTAGGTATGAACCTTTTAAATGGGCACGCATTTTGCCTTTTTTTTTTTTTTTCAGTATTCAAGTGATTGAAGTTCTGGCATTTCTGTCCCTATTATACATTTCTAAGCAAGTTACCCAGTGTCACCAACTTATGTTCTTAGAGGAATGTTTTCACATGGACTTCAGTCATTTGGAGAAGTTAACAACAAAAAATATGGATTTCAGCAAGGTAGTTCTTTCCAAAGCCCCACTAATACTACCATTAAAAGACAATGGTCTGTTTAGATATAAATCTACATTAGCTAAAAGAAACTGTTTCAGATGCTATAAAGTAGATGTGGTGATCAAGTTAGCAGTTTTGTACCATGCCAGCAACAGGAAATCAAGAGCCAATTCAGTTTGCATTGAAGAGCCTTAAAAGATCCAGGGATTAGCAGTAGCTGGTACCCATTGGGGGCAAAAAGAATACTAAAATAAGTATAATTGCTTGTAAGCATTTTAAGAAACTCATAAAACCCTAGAAGCCTTCACCATAAGGGAATGCTCCTCCCCCATCCAGTTAGCTTATTCTCTGGGGATTGTAAAATAGTGTGATTTCTTAATTAAGGGATGCTCAGTACTATTGGTTTAGTATGGAAAAACAGAAGAAATAAGAGAATATAGATTCCCTACTAGATGCTCAGAAGTATGAGAGCCAGGCCTTTACCCCTATGGTAGGAAATTAGAAAAATCTTATCTGGGAGACCTGACCCTTCCAGGAAAGACTTTAAGATTCCCATGTAGAGGCATTACTAAATAATCCTAGCCTGGTCTTTCTACTTAAAGCGTAGGTCAGTAGGCCCCAGGGATTTTGAAAAATCTGACTGTAACATGAGATCAAATATTAAAACAAACAGCATAAAGTAACAAGAGTGAGAACACTCATCAGTGTTATCAGGGGATAGACAAGCTGTAACGTTGCATATGTACAAGAGACATGCAATGGACATGAGGATGCTTTTTTTTTTGCATCCATAAACAAAGAGCTCTTAGATTAATACATCAGAAATTACTTAGAAGTATGAAAAATAATGTTGAAACTTGCAAAAGAGCAGATAGGCAAAATGGAAAATCAGAGGATAAAAAGACTAGATAAGCAGAGGAACAGTTTTGGAAAGCCATCATTGAAATAAATGGAGCAGAGATAAAGTGAACAAAGTGAAGGAGAAGAAATAGAAAAGGCAGAGGTGATTCAAGAATATATCCCATAGTTAAAGGGTGTGAGTTGCCAGGTTGAAAGGGCACAAAGAGTCCCCAGTACAACGGATAAAAGTGAGTCCCAGCTCTAAATTTTCAGACCATTGGGATGAAGATTCTATAAATTTCCAGAAATTTAAACAAAAGGAATGCATATTTAGATCTGAATGATTTCAGAGCTACAAGAAAAGAAATTTTGCTTTTTAAATCTGAATGACAACAGTGCCCAACCTAGAACTGTGCATTCATCTCACTATCACTCAACTTCTCAAAAAATCATGTCCCACATACTGTGACTTCAAAGCCACAAGGATATGCCCCTTGTAAACCACGAGAGAGAGAGATTTCAAATGCGGTAAATAGGAAAGCTAATGCAAAGGAAGGTCAAAAGAAAGCACTGGAATGATAGAATGGATGACTTGTGGACAATGTTAGTGCCCCAGGTATAGAGGACTCCAAACTGGAACAGTTGAGTCATAATCAATTTTGGATGGGTGAATGGTGAGAGGATGAGAAATGTATACATGTGTAGTGATGGTAGTGGAGAGTGAGGGGTAAAGAGAGCTAAAAAAAAAAAAACCTATTTCATAGTGGAAATCAACTGGTAACATAAAAATTTTAAACTGAAAAAAACAATACATGCATGGAATCTATCTGATAAAAAATAGAATTAAATAATCTGGAGATAACTGGTAGTGTTAACTATTGGAAGAAATTGCTAATGTTGTTCTTAAAATGATTACCTTTTGAGAGCAAGATTGTTGATAGAAAATAGGGCAAAGAGATTTTTCTTACATTTTAAGCCCTAGAGCAAATGATATTCAGGCTCCATGGCCTTATCAGTTGCTTATGATTGGTATCTGTTTTGACGTATGGGTACTTATGTTTTCTCTGTTGTTAACAATTTTGAATATCACCTAAACTGAACATCACTAAAGATCAATAATATTCTAGAGTGAGCTTTTTCTCTTTCTCCCTTGTTGGAGAGAGCTTTCCCTCACTCCTGATAATTACGGACCCTAACTGGGGTTATCTGAGGGCAACTGAAGATTCAGAAAGGACACAGGATAGATAGACAGACAGAAAGTGGGATCGGGGTGTGGGCACTTGAGTGGAGATGCACAACCCTCATTGCTTCTTTTCTCTATTATTTTCATTTACTCTGCTTTTCTCTATCTTTATTCTTTAAGGCCTTACTCCTTTACAGTTCTTTAACACCTTGCTTTTAAAGTCTTCTTTAAAACCTTGCTTAAACCTCTTTCCTTAGACCTGCTCTGTCCCATGTTTTCTCTTAGCATTTCTTTCGCATAATCTCCCTTAAAGTCTTTGCCCCCAGACTTGCACTGTCCCATGTTCTCTCTTTAGCTTTCTTAAACCCTCTGTGCTCAGACTTGCAAACAGTAACAGCTGTGCCTAAAACCTGCATATACATAACTTTTAAAGTCCTG